TCATGTTATAATCTTTTCTTTCGCTCGTCGCGTTGTTCTCTTTCTCTCTCTTTCCCTCTTTTCCTTTATTTTCATACGGTTTCCTGTAATACATATATGCATATACATGTACAACATCATTAGAAGAATAAGACCGATGGATAGAGAAAGAGAAAGCAAAAAATAACTCGGTGTAAGTAAAAGACGCGGCAAAATGATAAATCGCCCATATATATACACATACACACAGAAAGAGAAGAGTTAAATGATCTCTAGTTGAAGATTCTCTTCCCTTCTGTCTTTTATTCGTTTGTAGCGATACAATCTCTTATCGTTATCCTCTTTTTTTGCTTCTTCTTCTATCCCTCCTTACTTTGTCTCTAACAAGACAAGTGATAGAAACTAAAGGGAAAAATCAATGATAAATTGGTGGAGTTCTATAATAAAGCAAAATAACAATACTTCTATAAAGAAATTATGAATTGATTGATCAATTGAGATTGAATAGCAAAGAAAAAAGAAATTGAAAACTAAGAAATGTCTGTCTGCTTACACATATATCAACACAAAAGCAAAGAATATGATATCCTTCTGTCTTTCTCTCGTTCTCAAACAATAACCAACAAATAGTAGCAAGATGTTCTAGTAGCCGTAAGGTATAAATCGACTAATTTGTTTGTATGTCTGGTAGAGCAAAGGTGGAGCCATTTTCTGATTGGTAACTTTAAAAAACGGTTGTCATCTACATAGAATTTTGTTCTGTTACATATTAATTTGAAATAATTCATTATATATATATATATATATTAAATATTCAAATCAAGATTTTCTATTACGAGAAATAGAACTAAAGATAAATTTTCTTGGAAGACTGAATAATAAACAATTACTGTAGTTAACAGTTAATTGTATTTGAATTGTTTTTTCTGTTTGACAGTGTCATATTTCTTGTTTCTAAGACAAACAATCCAATATGTATGTATATTGATTTTTTTATTATTTTTTTAGTATAAGTCATAGTATGCATTCTCGTGCTTATTTATTGATAAAACGTGATTTATATTTACTTGAAAATAATCCGGTGAATGGTATTGATATTGAACGTATAGTTGATGATAATTATTTTGATCTCACATTATTTCTTCGTCCATTAAAAAGTTCAATGTGGTATGGTTGTATGTTTCGAATATTTTGTTTATTTTATGATACATATAATGTTCAACCACCAATTCTTCAATTTGATCCGATAAATATTCCATATCATCCAAATGTTGATCCAATAACCGGTCGAATTAGTTTATCAACAAGTGAAAATTGGAATCCAAATTTTACATTACGAACATTATTTGATGAATTAATTGGTATATTTACAATACCAAATCAAAAAACAATTATTAATACAGATGCTAATCGTATACTTAAATGTCGTACGAATGATTATCAAGATATAATCGATAATTCAATTGAAAAAAGTCGACAATTAATAGAAATCATTAATGATGAAAAACAAAGCTCAAATCAAATACAAATTATTTCACCAAAAGGAAAAGATGGTAAATGAAAAAAAAAACAAAAAATTTATTATTTATTTTTTTTTCATTAGTTATTCGAGCACGTTTACATACACCAGAAAGAGGTGCACGACGACAGCAAACAAATTTTAAATTAAACCAACGAATATCATTTGAAGATTATCTTAGTACATGGAAAGGTATAGCAACATCAAAAGCAAATTTACAAGAAGAAAATTTATTTCTTAAACAATTAAATTTACAGCCAAAATTACAAGCTCAACATCTTGCTTTGAATGCTAATGAACTTGGTAGAATTTATTTTGAATTAAATATATATATATATGTAGGAATTTATATTTTTCTTTTAGCTCAACAACTTGAGGATCGAGCACATCAATTTGAAAGACTTAAATATGGTCAATTAACCAAAGAAAAACGTCAACGTAAAATTAAACCAGTGTCACAAATGAGTGTACCAGAAAAGGTTCAACAAGTACATATTGTGACAGAAGTTAATAGTAGTCTTGATGTTCCAATAAATATTGAAAAACAAGAAGATAATTCTGTAAAAAATGATGAAATTGATGAAGTTGATGAACTTATCGAATGGACACAATGTCTACCAACTACAGATGAAATTATCGAAGAAGATTTATCTATTTTATAAGGATTCTATCTTTTTATATAAAATCTCACTTTTTTTTTCTTGTATTTTGTAAACATTTTTTTTTGAACATTTTTTTCGTAAGGAAATTTATCGACAATATAACAACGAATGAGATTTCAATAATTCAAATAAAGGATCATGTAGCTTCGAAACAAGTGTCAGGCTTGAATTTAAAAAACTTTTGTTGAAAATATTTTAAATCCAAGTATAGATATTAACTGAAAACTTGGTATAGAAAAATAATTTAATATCATTAACAATGAATCAATAGTATATGTCTGAAAGTACAATATGTCAATGGTATAAATCTATATTTTATTGATTTATTTATTAATAATGATAAAACAATTAAATATGATTTGGTTACGTTTCTAACAAAAGTATTTTATTTAACAATTGAAAAATGCTCATATACTACAATAACATGTTTTTTTTGATAAGTGATGTCGTGCATAAAATGTTTCTCATCAATTTTGATTTTATTTAATCAATTATCTGTTCTACGACACGATGGAACAAAAATTATATGTAACACATGTATTTTATTTCTTCTAATAAAACTTATTTAGACAATGGACAGTATATCCATTTATTCGAGTGTAGATGTGATTTTAGGAGAAGATTAAGTCTACCGACAACCATACCGACCCACCCCGTCAAGATGAGTATAGAATAAATTGTTTGCTTGCGTGCCCACATATCACTGATTAGTTCAAAAATAATGTGAATGGATAAATATTGTTCATCGAAAAGATTTCGCAAACGAAGGTTGATTATTCTACGATTCTTTTACTGATGAAATGGACTGTATTCAAGTAACAAAATCAAATCTATTATAATAATTCGTTAGAAAATATCTTGACTATGTCAACTTCTTCGAAATATCTCCACGCCATGCAAGTACCGTATCAAATTAGTACAAACTTCACATTAGAGGAGTTGGATTTTTTTTTGGATCTATGAGATTATTTTTGCAATCTGTTAGGAATAGACCGCAAATACATATTTATTTTTAATTACCATAGTATAAAAAAAACAAAGTGTCTGATAAAATGTACTTAGAAAGATTGAAACGTTTATTGCTAACTTTTTTGTACTATAATCTTTAGATATAGCTTTTGTATCAAAAACATATTTGAATATATAAAGAATAATTATAATTAGTATCAGAAAAGTGAATAATAGGTTTTAAAAAAAAAGAAATAATCTATGAAATAGAGTATTAACAGATCTGTAAGTATATATCTAAACTGTCAGTACCATTATTGATCACAGCAAAATCTGGTTTTTTGTCATTGTTGAAGTCACCGACAACAACAGACGAGGGATGAGATCCATAATTGGTTGCAACTACCAAGAAGTTTGCAAATTTGCCATTCCCATACCCGAGAAAAATACCTTGATTGCTGCTATCATAATTAGCAACCAAAACATCCAAGAACGTATCATTGTTAAAATCAGCAACAGCTAGAGAATATGGGCCTGAACGTGAACCAGTGGAATATGTTGTTTGATTTTTAAAAGAACCGTTTCCATGTCCGAGAAAGACACCCATATTAGCCGTGCCATAATTAGCCACGACGATATCTAGATAAGTATCGTTGTCAAAATATCCAACAGCTACCGAATATGGAGAAGAGTATAAACCAGTTGAAAATGTAACTTGATTTGCAAAAGAGATATTACCGTGTCCAATAAAAATACCAATATTCTGTGTGCCTGAATAAGCAACAATAATATCCGTTTGATTATCGTTGTTAACATCACCGACAGCCAATGATCGTGGTCTGGAATGATTACCAGTTGTAAGTGTGATTTGTGGTACAAATACTTGATTGGAAGATCCAAGGAGAATACTCATACGATTTTCAAATGCATTCGTAACAACGATATCTAGGCGAGTATCAACATTGAAATCACCAATGGCTATAGAATATGAAGAAAATCGAGTTAAATACTTCATTTGATTTTCAAATGAACCATTTCCATATCCAAAAAAGACACTTATATAATCGTTGGCCAGATTAGCGACAGCGATATCAAGCCGAGTATCATTATTGAAATCACCAACAGTCACCGAGCCTGGTCCAGCGCCAGTTGAATACGTCAGTTGATCTGTAAATGAACCATTTTCATATCCAAAAAGTATGCTTATATTATTGCTAAGCAGATTGGCAATAACAAGATCCAATTGGTTATCATTGTTGAAATCGCCAACAGCTACAGAAAATGGCTGAGTACCAGTTGAATACGTTATTTGCTTTGCAAATGAATCATTACCATATGCAAGAAGAACGCTGACACTATTGTTAAAAAGATTAGTGACAACAATATCCAGTCGATTATCATTGTTAAAATCACCAACAGCTACAGACTGTGATCCAGTACCAGTTGAATACGTCATTTGTTCTGCAAATGAACCATCACCATACCCGAAAAGAATACTGATATTATTGCTTTTAAAATTCGCCACAACAATATCCAATTTGTTATCATTGTTAAAATCACCAACAGCGAGAGATCGTGGATGAGTTCCAGTTGAATATGTCATTTGGTCTGCAAATGAACCATTCCGATACCCGAGAAGGACACTTATATTATTGCTGAGAAAATTAGCGACAACGATATCCGATTGGTTATCGTTGTTAAAATCACCAACAGCCACAAAGAATGGCCCAAGACCAGTTGAATACGTTATTTTATTTGCAAATGATCCATTACCATACCCAAAAAAGACACTTGTACTATTGCTAGCAAAATTAGCGACAACGACATCAAGTTGGTTATCATTATTAAAATCGCCGACGGATACACAACTAGGAAAACTACCAGTTAAATAGAGAACTGGATCTGTAAAAATTCTAATGTCATATGCAGAAAATATATCCACATTTTCGTTATCATCATATGCAACAACAATTTCTGATCGTCCATCATTATTAAAATCAGCAGAAGCGATAAGAAATGGAGATGAAACAAAATGAAATCCATTACTTGCTTGAGTTGTAAATGTGCCTTCTATATTTCCAAGTAGTATGTTTATATCTTTAGTACCATAATTGATCACAGCAATATCTAATAACATGTCACCATTATAATCAGCAACGGCAATAGCTGATGGATGAGAATTTAAGCTACTGATAAGCATTTTTTGACTTAGAAAAGTACCATTCCCACGTCCGAAAAGAACACCGATATCGTTAGTACCATAATTAGCTACAATGATATCGAGTTGAGTGTCATTATTTAGATCACTAATAGTAGCATATCGTAGACTGGAAGCACCACCAGATGCATAAGTCATGTGTTTGGTTAAGGCTCCTCTATTGTATTGAAGCAGTACACTGATACTATTGCTATCAAAATTAGTAACAGCAATATCTAATCGACTGTCATTGTTGAAATCACCAACAGCTAGAAAGTATGGCGATTTGCCGGTTGGAAACGTCATTTCTTTTGCAAACGAACCATTCCCATTCCCAAAAATAACACTGACATGATTATGAACAACACTGGTGAGAACAATATCCAGTCGGTTATCATTGTTGAAATCATTAACAGCTACAGAGAATGACATAGTCCCAACTGAATACATCATAGGAACTGCAAATGAACCATTGCCATATCCAAAAAGAACACTTATATAGTCGCCAAATGAATTGCTGACAGTGATATCAAGCTGAGCATCATTGTTGAAATCACCAACAGCTACAGATAGTGGCCAAACTCCAGTTATATACGTCAGTTGCTTTGCAAATAAACCATTCCCAAATCCAAGAAGAACACTGACGTCGCAACTAACATTATTGGCAACAACAATATCCAGTCGGCTATCATTGTTGAAATCACCAACAGCTACAGAGAATGGCTGAGTACCAGCTGGATATGTCATTTGTTTTGCAAATGTACCATTACCATATGCAAGAAGAACGCTAACGTTACTGCTATTTGAATTAGCGACAACAATATCCAATTGGTTATCATTGTTGAAATCGCCAATAGCCATAGCGAACGGCATACCACCGACTAAATATGTCGTTGAATCTACAAACGAACCATTATTATATCCAAGGAGAACGTGGATATTATCGTTAACAGGGTCGGCGACAATAATATCTAGTCGATTATCATTATTGAAATCACCAACAGCTATAGAAGATATTCCGTCACAAGTTAAATACGTCATTCTTTGATCTGTAAATAAACCATTCTCATCTCCGAGAAGAACGCTAACGTTGCTGCTATCTAAACTAGCGACAACAATATCAAGTCGATTATCATTATTGAAATCACCAACAGCTATTGGCCCACTACCAGCTGAATACGACGTTTGATTCATAAAACCTTCAAAATAACCAAGGAAAATATCAATAGAACCAGTATCATTGTTAACGACGATGATATCTAATCGATTATCTTCGTTCAAATCATGTATGGCAAACGCAATCGAAGATGAAGAACCACTTGAATAGTATATTAGCGAATCTGTAAAATTACCGTTGCCAGATCCTAAAAGGACACCGATATTGTTAATGCCTTGATTAGTAACAACTAAGTCCATTTTATTATCATCGTTAAAATCACCAATGCCAATTGAGTAGGGAGATGCATTATTAATAGAATAAGTTATCTGATTCGTAAAACTGCCATTAGTATTGCTTAGAAATACACCAATGTTTTTAGTTCCGTAATTAGCTACAACAATGTCGAGGAAGACGTCATCATTGAGATACCCAACAGCAATTGAATATGGATGAGATCCAGCACCAGTTGAAAATGTGATTAGGTTTCCAAAAGTATTATTTTGATTACCAAAAAGAATACCAACATTATTAGTACCAGCATTGGCGATTGCAATGTCTAAATAATTGTCATTATTGAAGTCACCAATAACCAACGACATTGGAAGGGAGTCATAGCCAGTTAGATATGTTACAGGAGATGAAAAATTCCCATTTCCATGCCCATAGAATCTACTTATACTCTGTGTTCCATGATTGACAGTTACAATATCAGGTAGTGTGTCGTTATTCAAATCTGGAATACTAATCGAAATTGGACGAGATGCACCAGTTGAAACTTCTCTTTGATCACTGAATGATCCATTTCCAAATCCAAGAAATATGCCGATATTATTAGTACCAAAATTTGCCACGACAATATCCAATTGATAATCATTATCAAGATCATGAACAGCGATCATGTAAGGAGCAGAACCAGTACCAGTCGAATATATTGTTGGACTTCCAAGTGTAATGTTGCTATTTCCAAAAGCCACACTTATACTGTCTACAGCATTATTAGCGATAACGACATCGAACCAAGTGTCATTATTAAAGTCACCGATAGCGACAGATCGTGGACCATATTTGTATTCGATTGGGCTTGGATCTATTTTATTGAACTTCAGCTCACATTTCGGAACTAAAGAATACAAAATAATAAAATAAAGACTGATAGGATATTCCTATTATGTGGGTCTGTTTTTTTTCCGCTGCACATCCCATGCCCACACTCACACATTAAAATAGGAATCTTTTCTTTAACTTCTATCCAATTCGATATGAAGAATGTAAAACATGAGCAAACCTGATTGTTTTGGTGAAGTGAAGCAGACTACCAGAATACCAATGATCATTGATATAGTTGAGAACATACTAAATGCACAGACAGGATGAACTAATAAATATAATATTGACCAGTAGTAGTATTTTCTACGAATGAACAATACGATCGTATATAATATGAAAAAGAAAATGACATACATAGCTCTGAAAGTCATGTATTTCGTCCATTGATTGTTAGTGTTGTTGTGTACAGGTTTTTTAGTACTACTAATTGACTTCGAGTTCGCATTTTCGATTCGCTCGACAGTTATAATTTCCTAATAAAGCAAGTAGTTGATCGATATATTACTAATATTCGTGAAATATAGTTTAATTAATAAGAAGATGGCTATCAAGGAAATTAGCGTAAGTTATATTGTTCAATTTCAATAATATTCTAACTATTAAAACAGAATATTTTCTGATAAAATAACGCCTGGTCCAAAGATAGTTAAGTGAGATGTTTTATGATTGCAGTCAAATCAAAAATAACTCGACTTATTTATCTCTGATCGAGTCACATAATTGAGCGAATGTGCTCTTCAAGACACTTAACATAAAACTGTGTTTATAAAAAAAAAGCTTACGGCTAGTATGGTATTAATTCAAAGAAAATCTAAAATATTGGATAAAAAGAATCATTTTAGTATTCCGCTGATGAATTTGTTATTTCTTTGGGTTTCATTTCAGTAAAATTCCATTGAAAAAAGTAGATGAAGCTGTATAGAAATTTTACTTCGATGTTGAAAAAATAACTATTGTGAAAAATGGTGGCTAAATTTACCCAACTTTTCTATCATATGTAGATTTTGAAAAAATGTTTCATAAAACACTCAAATACATGTAGGAGAATACTATTCAATGATATTATTTAAACAACGTTGCTTAATCATTAGGCAACAACTCATTAAAATAGATTTTTGAATATTCTAGTGATCTATGCGTAAATGCATTTTTCATACAAAGGTAAGTGTTACATGCCTCATGTACACCGGAGTGCATTGTTCTATTGAGTGTGTATGTACACTATTGATCCAATAAAATATTTGTGTAATTGTAATGTATTTTTAAGTTGTGTTGAACTTGTGATAATAAAGCTACGTTTGATACACGATGTGTCGATAAATATAATGTCTTTACAACATATCATCCTTGCATGATATTATCCTCATATAATATAACAATCTTCACTGAATGTGTATCGCTCTCGTTTTGTATTGTAATATCTTTCTCATCTCCTTGTAGTGTAATCTCTATCGTTATATGTGCCTATTCGTATTCTCTACTGTTCTGTTCTCTTCTCATGCGTAACGAGTAACCTATTGTAACTACTATGTAAGTGTGTGCAAAAGAAAAGAATAAAACAAACGGACAATGCAGTAATGAAGTGAACATTATACACCGAGGATAGCGGTAACAGTACTTCATCAATTCGTTATTGTGCTGACAAGAAAAGAAATAAATGCTGCAGTCGTGACAAATATCTATCCATCTCTTTTATAAATTCGTTACATACGGCACTAGCTTCTATTCAATAGTTAAAATTACTCAATCACTTTGCTTTTCAATGTTCTCCTTGTATAGAAGAACAAGTAAAAGAGGTCAACGAAAGATCATCACCTGAATAAAAAGAACGACCAAGGATTAAGCACAGTCGTGTGAAATAAGTATGTCCTCTATCTACACATAAGCCATGGACAAGAATCGATTTTTTATTGCATCGCTTAGGAGAGATCAATGAGTGATATAAAACTTTCTTCATATTTAACAACACAATCATCATTACTTGTTCTTCCCACGTGGGTAATTAATGCAAATTATAAACAGTCTGAAAAATACAAAATTTATTAACAGTGAACCGACTATAATGCCTATTTTTTTTCTTTTTTCGTTTTTAATTCATAATCTCACTCAACTTTCGAAGTCTCTTTCATTAAAGTATCATATGTGTATTCTAATATTTTCTAGATAACAATACTATATGGGCCTATTCGATAGAGTTTTAATCAAAATAACCATCTTGAGGGTGTGAGTTTGGATAAAGAAAGAATTAATCCTTACTCACACCCATTCATTTTAGGCTGCATATTATCGTTGTTAGTATTCAATTATTTATCATTGATGATCATTTCAAATATTTTTTATATTCCAATTACAATATATGATTAATACTCTTATTTTGACATTGGTTCGAGATCAGTAGGGGAATAAATATTTGAAAAAGTCACTAGAAATAGTATTACATCACAAATAAATCATGAACCAATGTTATATTATCAACTAATATCAGAATCATTATTTTAACATGTAGCATACTCGTCAATTGACAATCCACTGTCATTAAGATCTAAATGAAGTCAAATAAATCTTCACACGTTGAAAAAAAACCATCTATTTTGTAGTTATGTATGATTCATTCAAATATTGAAAGAAAGTAAAGACGTCATCAACTTTATTTAGTCATTTTTGTAATGTAATTATGGAGATGCCATTTACCATCTACAGAAAGCTTGCATATATTACCATCATTGTTTTACTCAACAGACATGCACTTTTATAAAGCAATGCACTTTTTCTTATTGTAATTACATCAACCCTAGATCTTTCCAGAAATTGTCTTTTCTATCGTTTTGTTTTAAAAAATAATCAGGAAGATTGTCCAACTAACTTCGTCTTCTGCTGCTACATACATAATATATCACAGCAGCATAGAAACGACGCAAAAGAAGAGAAAAACAATTTTTTAGCAGATAAATATTTTTCCTCGAGAAAAAAAAAGTTAAAAGTGTGTTGTTATGATAAACAATTATTAAACTCATTTTGGATTGCTAAAAAAACTGTTTGTTGTTATTTATCTAACAAATAAGATGTTTTGTCTTTTACTAATACTAGCATACATAGACATGAATCCTAACTGTTTGGATCATTCTTGCATTGATGAAAGAAAATGTGATTATGTATTGAGTCACATCCAATTATATTTTTTCGGCAATCAAAAAATAAAGAATAGAATACTTCGTGTTTGAATCAATTGAAAAATCCAAGTCCAATGAGTTTGAGTTTTGAGGATTATTGATTTTTTTTGTTTCTGTATGAATTGCGTGAGAATTGATTGATATATTGTATAATCTGTGAGATAAATTTGAATGCATATCGAATTTATATATGAACAAAATGAATTAAATTATTTTTATTTTTATAAGAAAAATTTCACTTGTGACTAAATCTTAATTATTTTCTTTTCAAATCCAATTTTATCTTTATTCATATTCCATATAACATTATATTCTGTTTGTGAATATGTTTATCTCTAAGTAACATATCAACAAGGAAAAAGCGTCTTTCAAAATGGATATTTGTTTTTACAAAATAAAACAAGAGTCATAACTATTTTTTTGCATTAGATTGATGAAATGAAATGAGAAAGGGAAGCACACGCTGCATTGACAAGAGAAAAAGAGTGAGAAAAAGAAAAACAAAATAGTGTTTATAGCTCAACAGATTTTTTTTTCTTTTATTCTCAGTTAAATTCACTTCATCAACTTGCAGTCTAGTTAGTGATGACTTCAAAAAGAATTTGTTTATTTGTTGTACTTATGATTATTACACAATCAGTAGAAGAAGATACGCGATCAGTCATAATGTCTTTAATCACTGGTTCGAAATTTCAATGTTTGAACACAACTTGTTCACCATTCGCTAATATCATCACGTCGGCCATTATGAAGTGTCAAATGGCTTGTTTAGCTCAAATTTATTGCAAAGCAGCCAGTTTTCATCAATCAACTGCTAATTGCGAATTATTTACTGATATGTCAAATGAAATTGCAAATATGTTGGCTGATACTGACATTACTACTATGGTTGTTATTGCTGGAACACGATATCCACCTGGTTAGTATGAATATAGTAGATTTAGGAAGAAATCATTCTGAAAGTATCGGTGAAGACATATCTGACAAAGGAAGGTTCTGGGTGATGTCGATGAAATTATGTAGGCCTGTTAAGTACAGTATAACTATCTTAAGTATGAAACAACTGAATACTCTGACTCCGCCAAGAAAAACATTTAAAGTCAAAACATTTTTCAAAGAGATCTACATATAATTTTTTGCCGTATAACTTTTTAGAACCTTTCAGAATCGTAGACCATTTTCATTTTGAATATCGTACATCTCGTCTGAGTTGTGCACTCTCTGTATTTCCATTGAATCTTCGTAGATGTCGTGAATGAGAATGTGAGTGTATGATCATGATAAATGCATTAGAGTTGGACCCACATTCACATCCACACTTATACTCTTACCCATCCATACTCACCGTCACCGACTCAAACCATCATTCACTTCTACACTCATACCCTCACACATCCTCATCCTCGTCCATCTACAACCACATCTAGCTGTGAGTTTTGGTCTTTAACTTAGGATTAGTTTCTGAAACGAATGCGCACTCGAAGAGAAATGAAATATTTAAGGACAGCAACAGCATGCAAATTGTATAGCAGTCAATCTGTATAATTCTAAAACACTCACCACTAAAATTATAAGAAACATAAAACCATTTGTCAGGATTCTTATGCTAGAGACCAAATCAGAAGCAAAGATTGTGGAAGTATAATTATAATATAAAGCGTCTAAAGATCTACTCTTCTATCACAATGTACTCAGATTTATAACAGATATAATAACTCGAGAAGAAGTAAGTAATTAGGACTAAACCGGTATCCAATGGTTTAGTCTCATTCTAAATTTACCTCTACAAAATAGAACCGACCACGACAACATCAACAAAAAGTGCAACAACAATATCAACAACATCAGTTACAACAACTAGAACAACATCAACTGCAATATCAACTACAACATCAACAACATCAACTACAGCAACTACAACAATAACTTCATCAACTACTTCAACAACAACAACGTCAACTACAACAACAACAACATCAACATCAACTACAACATCAACATCAACTACAACATCAACAACATCAACTACAATATCAACTACAACATCAACAACGTCAACCACAACAACATCAACTACAATATCAACTACAACATCAACAACATCAACTACAATAACTACAACAATAACATCAACATCAACATCAACAACATCAACAACCACATCAACAGCGTCAACCACAACAACATCAACAACCACAACCACAACATCAACAACAACAACATCATCAACCACATCAACAACGTCAACTACAACAACAACAACTTCAACAACTACAACAACTACAACATCAACAACAACAACATCAACAACAACAACATCAACATCAACAACAACATCAACAACAACAACCTCAAAAACAACGTCAACATCAACCACGACATCAACTACGACAACAACAACAACAACCAGTAGTGAGTAATAGGGAAGATGATATGTAGTGTTAAGGAGAGTTAGTCTCGTGATTCTAAGCTGAACTGAGTATATCGAGAAAGCCTTTTGCTCTAAACTTTCGATGGTTTCAAATCTTAATACAACACTCTCTCAATTATTGCTTTTTAATACTTGAAACTGTTCCTATTAACTTCTATAATGTACTTAGCTGTATGTCGAAACATTGTATTCAACAGAAAATGAAACTGGCGATTCCGTTCATTCATATTTTTCTGAAATGTCCTCTGTATCTGTTTGATGATTACTTATCGCCAACATGTCTGTGAATAATATCTTGAGGGTGGGTGTGAATATTTTATTCTTTTCTTCAACAGCCATAGTCTCAATTTTTGTCTAATAACCATTTCATCAATAGATAGAAAAATTTCGTTAGAAAATCTGAGTAAATAAGAGTTTGAAATTGTGATGAATTTGTTATTAATGTCTGTTATTACTTATTATTTAGCAACAACTCCGTATATGTACGATCCGTCCAGTCTCTGGAGATTTGATAATAATACTTTAGATAGTATTGGAAATCTCAGTGGAGTAGCGATCAATTCGCCTAGCTATGTAACACCTGGCATTACCGGTAGTGGATATGCGTTGAGTCTTATTCGTAATAATGTTCAATACATAACAATAGCTACATACCAGAATTTCTCTTATGTCAGTTTTACCGTGGAAATGTGGTTTTATCTTACTTCATCAAACCCAAACAATTATGGACTCTTCTCTCAACTTGATAACGGAACAACTGATCATGAAATACTTTTTATGATTAACAATGGTCACATCTATATGAGTTTTTTTCAGGATGATGCTCCTGGTACAACTTCAGTGTCAACAAACACTTGGTATCATGCAGCTTTTGTCTATGACTATCCATCACGAACACAAATCGTGTATTTGAATGGATATCAAGATGGCATTCATACATCAGCTGGACCATATTTAGGCATGGCTGGTGCAATAACTATTGGAATGTATATTGATTATGCCAATACACTTCAATGTTTCAACGGGTAAGAAGAAAAGACTGAATCATTTTTTCGTCTACTATATTGAACTAATACATCTGACTCTAAAAATATTGTCTATTCTATATCAAAATTTGTTAATCAGTAATATATATTAACAAACTATCTCGTATCTATCTAAATTTCTTCACTGGTAGTTCATTTCTAAATTAGTACTGAACTTGAAAAGAAATGCACATTAATTCGTTAGTTTTTTGACAATATATTATTTTTTGTATGTTTAGCTATATAGATCAAGTTTCGCTAACGATGCGAAGTAAAACTGCTACGGAGATTCTTGGCGATGCTACATTAACTACATGGCATTCATTTGATAGTACACCATATTTTGATACAGGTCCACTTGGACTTAATGTAAAAGCTGTTAATATTACTTCAGTATCTGGTAGAGTGAATCAAGCAATAAGTTTCACTTCAAGTTCATCTTATTATCAGGTAATTGATTAAATTTCACTGTTTACAGTTAGCAGCGGTGTAAGAGTAATTCGATATATATAATAATTCAAATATTTCGCATAATGTAAGAAAAATAAATAAATAGAATCAAAATAGTACAAATATCTTTCTATATTGCATGAGATCCAATATGTAATATTTATTTAGGTAAATGGATTTGTCCTCCTGGGAATTTCAAACAGCAGCTTTTCAATTTCTCTCTGGGTTAATCCAGCAACAAGAAATGGATCAACTCTTGTTCACCTTTCAACAACAACAAATGGACAAGGATGGTGTGTGGATTTGATGGGGTTTTCCTCTACTGGTCAAATAATAGTCACCGGTTGGTCTACTACATATCTGCAAGTGGTAGGCCCTATTCTACCCACTAATATCTGGACGAATGTCATCAGCACTTATTCAACAACAAATGGTGTTCGATTATATGTCAATGGAACGTTAATTGGTACCACAGGTCCAATGAATTATCTTGCTTCACAATTAGTAAACATTCTAACGTTAGCCAACCCCCTGCAAGGCGTTAGTGGTGGTGGTGGATGCACTTCATTGTCTATTGTTCCAAGTATTTATTTGGGCTATTTAGACGAGTTTCGTGTGTATTCTCGCGAATTAAATGGCACAGATATTCATGCACTTGCAAATCCTTAGAAGACCTACAAAATAAACTCTTTATTTACTAATATACAATATATTTTACTAAATGACATTATGATTTTGTCCATGATTTTCTGCTTTTTGTCATTGTCATAATGCCATATATTTATATACCAGCTATATCTTCTTTTGTTGCTTTATCATGCGTGGATTCATATAGAGATATTCTCGAGTGTATTCAACCACATTCGTTTCTTTCTTTTTCTTCACTGTATGTCGTCATCGTATTTCTTCGTCAGCTTCTGTCTTTGTATCACCTTTTAAGGAATATTTTTTCTGTTCGCTCTCTTATACGCTTTTCTTTAAACAATAAAATATGATATGCTTTACAAAGGAATCAATTTATATTCGTGTAATGTTCCTAATTAAACAGAATAATTACCATTGAGTTGAATGGTAAAAAATATTTGAGTTCTATTTTAACAGAGTACTATGCAATAAAATCAATGATAGAATTAAAAAGAAAGATTAATTTTGATCTTTATATCAATGAACGTTTGTCACAATTAATAGGAAAATTATTCTATATCAAGTATAATTATCCAGCATCAGATTATCAGTTTTTGAAAAAAAATAATTTGTATCGGATGAATTTTTCTAAAATATAGAATTTATAGGTATTATTCCTATTCAAAAGGTTTTGCTTTATTAACTTTGTCACTTGAGATTATTCTTAACAGATTTGATACGAATATTAGATTTCTAATGAGATTGATTATCTTATTTATTTTTGCTAAAATAAATAATTATTAATTGACATATTCTTGTAAAGTTCAATAATATATAATTATTTACCCATAAGTAAATAGAGAAAAATAGATTATAATGTTTGAGAAAATAAACATCATTTTTCATAATTAGATTTCAATTATGAAAACAATATTTTACTAGAGATTAAGGCTATAATTCTAAGCAGAGTAAATAATGAATTTAATAACAAGGAAAAGTTTGTCGAAAACGAAGTTTTTTAATACTAAATCCTAAAAGTTATAAAAACGTTATATCTACAGCATTAAAAAGTATTCATAACTCTTGCTCATTATCAACATGTAAATTGTAGGCAATATTTTATTATTTTTCAATAATTACTATCTATTATTTATAATATTAAACAGCTTTTATCCCGTCCGTTTCTTGCACGAATAAGAAATGAAAATATAAGTACAAAATCTTATTCATGTATCTCATCACAAACATATTCATAGAAGTTATAAATGTTTGACTTGATATATTTCTATTGAGAAAAAGTTGATGAATCAATGTATGAGAATTTTTTTTAAATTGAGAAAAAAATATTTACATTTAATTAAGATTTAATTCTATTACGTCACTTTCACAGACAAGTTCAATAATTAATACGAAAATATATTATAGAAGTCTTACAAGATAGAATTCAATTATGATACAACTTTGAAGAATCCAATGAATAATAGAGAAATTGTTTATATTTATGAATTTGAAATGAATTCGAAATATGCTAAATTATCCTGAGAGTTTTTTAAAAGAATAATTTGTCATACACCAGTTGTATTACACATATCTGAATATCATTTTATACTAATTAATATTTCTTTTATGAAATAAAACTTATCAGTCAAAACAAAATCTAAGAGAAAAATTTTCAAAAGACGAATTATCACACTCTTCATTTTCTTGAATATAATCTGAATGATTAAAAGAAAAATGAAGTATGGATATGTTGCATATTAATTTTAATCGTTTTTAAGAAATAATTATCAATGTAATAAATAGTCAAAAACTAATTCTTATGTATATTATAGTATTGCCTTCAAAGACTGGTGAATATCTGAACTACGTGTACCGTAGATGGAATTTATTATAATAAGAAAGTGTCGCTCTGGCAGACTAATGTTACCACCAATCCGCACAATTTCGTCATCGCAACATGTATTTTTTTTCAGATTTTTTACCTCTTGGTAAGTTTTGTAATAAGCAATTCATCTCGATAGTATGTATAGCATGACATCCACTCTGTCTTTATACATATCACTTTTCTCTTTATTCCTTTGATATAATATATACAAAGACAAAACACATATTTTTTTTTTGATATATTAGTTTATTGATCCCATAAGGGTTATCAAGATATACAATTAAAAAAAAGAAACATTGATTAATTTAGTGACGATCAAATATTTATCACACTTCCCATCACGTACTTAATAATACGACATAGAACTAGGAGAAGATAATCAAAATTCGTCAATCATTACAAGAATAAACGTTAAAGGTAAACATTCGTGAGGCTGTGAAAAGATTGGTAAGAAGTAAATAGTCGAAAGAGAAAAGAAAAAGAGAAAGACATATTGTTAAGGTGATTCAACATATTTTTTAATAGAATTTTTAATTTTAACATTAGATTTTTTAAAAAAGTGTTTTTGTTTTTCATAGTAACAAAAGAAAGAAAAAAGATTTAGATTCGTATGATGTGCGAGAAGACAAAACAAATATGGTGCTCCACATACTATCGAAAAAAAAATTTTTTTTTATAACATACTAAAAGACTATTTATACTAAACGTTTTTTCTTTTTGTTGTTTGAGTATTAGAATAAGTTAACCGAATAGACGAAAACATCAAAATGTCGCAACTCTGCAGTTGTGGTGGATCTAAAAATAATGATGACAATAAACAAGTTAATAAACAAATCAATGCTAAATTAAAACAAGATGAAAAAGTTTTTCAAGCTACTTATCGATTACTTCTCTTGGGCACTGGTGAATCCGGAAAGTCAACTATCGTTAAACAAATGAAGATTCTACATAATCCTTTTACTCCAGAAGAAAAAGCTGATAAAATCCCTGATATAAAACGTAATATTCGTGATTCACTAACCAGTATTATACGCGCTATGGACAAAATTAATCCACCTGTTGAACTTCAACATCCAGAAAATCAAGGTCCTGCTACATTTATGATAACAACAGCACATTCATTAGATTTTGATTATCCACCTGAATTTTTTGAACATGCAGCGATACTTTGGAAAGATGCGGGTATACAAGCCTGCTATGAACGAGCGAATGAATATCAAATTATCGATTGTGCTAAATATTTTCTTGATCGTGTTCATGAAGTTAAACAATCAAATTATATGCCCAGTGAACAGGATATTCTTCGTTGTCGTGTGCTTACATCGGGCATTTTCGAACTTCATTTTGCCGTTGAAGGTGTGCGCTTCCATATGTTCGATGTCGGTGGACAACGTGAAGAACGACGAAAATGGATACAGTGTTTTAATGATGTTACTGCAATTATATTTGTCACCGCGTGTGACACTTTTAACACGATGCTCGCTGAAGATGAAGGAGAAAATCGACTGAGAGAATCTATTAAACTTTTTAAAGATATTTGGAATAATCGATGGCTACGAACTGTATCTGTCATATTATTTCTCAATAAACAAGATCTTTTAGCTGAAAAAATCAAAGGTGGTCGACGACTTGCAGATTATTTTCCTGAATTTGCTGGATATGTTCTTGCACAGGGTGAACAAGGCAAAGCTGACCGGGGTGAAGATTCTGAAGTAACTCGAGCTAAATGTTTTATTCGCGATGAATTTTTGCGAGTTAGCACGGCTACCGGTGCAAATACTCATCAATGTTATCCGCATTTTACTTGTGCGGTTGATACAGAAAATATTCGTCGAGTATTCAGTGATTGTCGCAGCATTATTCAACGTATACACTTGAGACACTACGAATTATTGTGATACCTATCTCTTGTACTTCTTTCTCTCTCTCCTATTCTCATCTCGTAGATTTGTGTGTACTTGTATTTTAAGATGTATTTCTCTATTTTTTTTTCTTCTTTTTTTTGCGGTGTACGCAAGGGTTCTCATCTTCATATATATTTATTTTATTAGCAAAGTAAACTTTGTATTTTTTCATTTTTTTTTGTTCCGTTTTTTGTCAAACGCGCGTACCGCTCAACTTTTAGTATCTTAATTCACACTCACCTTCTCTTAATCCTTTTTCGAAGAACAAATAAATAAAACACCTAGAACACGCATGTCGAAATTGTTTGGTGCTGTCTATGCTACTCTGTTGTTGTTGTTAATTGTTCTTCTTGGTATAATTGTTGTTGTTGTCATCGTGATTGTCTTTGACCTTAATAAAATTCGTTCTTGTCTTTCCTATTTCAGACCTATAACAATCGTTATGCTCGTCGTATACAGTCTGTCTGTAGGTTAGCCGTGCTTCTTTTGTCTCTTGCGCATGTGTGCCAATAGTGACCGACAAAAAAAACAACATTATTCATTCTATCCATTTCTTTTAATCTTCTGCTAATATACATTATAATTCTAAAGAGAAAAAAAAACTATACAATTCGAATCTCGACCTCAGTGCCTTGTTTTTTCTTTTCTTTTTCTTAATTTAGCAGCAATAGTCATCGGTTGTTTTGTAACTCATCAACAACCGTCATGATATCTAAAACCAAAATTTTTCATTTCTCTTTTTCTTTCTTTCTCGCTTTTTTGTATTTTAAGAAGAAAATAATTAGAAAAAAAACGAAATATGTACGTCATCAAGTATTTTGTCCGATTTGAAAGTTTGTTTGTCTACTCTTTCCTTTTAACACACGTATATACACAGATGCCCCTTTTTCGCTCGTTCTGGTTTCTCTCTCTCTCTTTCTCTCTATGCGTGTCTCTTCTAACTACTTGAATGAAGTTTTCTTATACACACAATTAAAAATGTACAAAAAGACAAACAAAAAGAAAATAAATTCTCCGATCAAATACATGTCGCGATGACAAAATTGTGCGGATCAGTGGTAACACTAGTTTGTCCGCGCAATACTTTTATTTAATTAAAACGAAAACGAACAAAAAAAATATTGTAATACATGTACAAGATGATTTATGTGATATCTTACTTGAGTCCTGCATAATAGTTATCATCGATAAAATCTACACAACTATTTCGTAAAAAAATGAATGACAATATCTATATTTTACATTATCTTTATGCATTTTAAAATTTTAACGATCAAGACTTATGAATATAATAGATGATCGATATGAGATTTGAATTTGTCTATTCAGTTGTCACTTTTCGACTAAGATCGAAGCATAGAATCCTGAATGATTTACTCTGAATATCAAACTGATTCTATATAATAAAGTACGATATTTTTTATTGTTTGTTTCATTTTTTTGTGAATTACGTTTTATACGTAATGTATCATGCTATCAAAAGTTAGGGACTCATATTTTGTTTGCCTAAAATTCTTCTTAGTACAATTCTAAAGTGTAGTATGTATTGTATACCATTTATTTATCAAAATCTAATTTATATCTGATAATTCAAATATATAACAACAAAAAAGAGAATTTGATCAAGAGTAAACTTATTCAAGTATTTCATGATGTAATGAACGCTAAATAATTATGTTGTATTTTTCGAGTATTAATTCTCTTACATTCACCACATATGAACCTATGATAAACGTATATTATTATTATTATTATATATCGAATACCTAATGTAAGAATCAATGAAAAGGTGTACTAAATTTTTATTAAATGTACATTAAAAGATAACTATAGTAAAATAGTACGCCATCTATCAGTTATATATTCATTCCCTAACTCGAATAAACTAATCGCAGCAGTTTTTCTTTTTCTTTTTCTAACTATATATGTATGATGTTTAAAGTGCTTGATTTTGTATTTAACCATAAATTTTCTGTATCGAGTCGTTCTATAAAAAACCATATCTTGTAATTACATAGGTAGATATGAAAAAAAACCGTCAAAAATATACACAACAAGCCTATTTTACTTGAGATATTCTTTTGAAATAATAATAAATCCATCTGAATAAATTATCCTATTAAAATTATGACTGGGAAAAAATATTGACATACATAACGTTTTTTTTTACGAATGAAATATTCGTTATATTGAATTCATTAATGAGAATATTAGAATTTCATGATTTAAGAATAACAAACTATAAATGATCTCTCATTTTTAACTCCAGATGTTTTTATTGTCAAAGTTATCTATTCAATATTCCATACGTTCTTCACTATTTCAATTTCAGAAATATCATTCCACTCCGAAAAAAATGGATACACTTAAATCAATTCTGACAACAATAACAGGTGGTGATAATAATGACAGTTCTTCCACATCATCCAATGAACAAATTCGTCATCAACTATGTAAAATTGATGACATACAAAATGGACAAATGAAAGAATTTGAAATAAAAACATCACTTGTTAATACAAGTGTTTTACTTGTTAAACAAGATAATAAATTTTATGCATATTCCAGTAAATGTTGTCATTATAAATTACCATTAGCAAAAGGTTTGAATAAAATGTTTCTTTTTCTATTTAAATATAATACATTACATTGTAAATATTACAATAGGTGTTCTAATTAATAATCGTATACGTTGTTTTGCACATGGTGCATGTTATCGTGTTGATACTGGTGATATTGAAGATCATCCAGGCCATGGCAGTTTACCAAGTATGTTGATAATAATTTATTTTTATTTGAAATCTAGGACATATATATATCTTTTCATTTTAAATAGAATATAATGTTGAAATTGTCGATGATCATGTTATTGTGGTTGGAACTAAAGAAGAACTTGAAAAAGTAGAACGTACAAAAATACCTGATAATCTTGAAATAGATGAGAAACCAGTCGTAGCTATTCTTGGTGCTGGCGCAGGTAAATATTTTCGAAAAAGAAATATATTGTAGTTACTCTAAGATTTTTCTCATTTCAGCTGGATTTACATGTGCTGATATGCTTCGTCAAAATGGTTTTCGTGGTCGTATTCTTTTATTTACACGTGAAGGAACATTACCCTATGATCGTGTAAGTCATTTCTTTCGTTTTTATAAATCAAACACAAAAGAAAAAAATGTAATTTTAATAAATATTTAGGTACAATTATCTAAACAACCATTGAAAAAACCACAAGAATTACTTCTTCGTGATCAACCTTATTTTAAAAAAGCTAAAATTGATTTAATACTTGATACTGAAGTGACAAATATTAGTTGGAGTACAAAAAATTTAACCTATCATACATTAGGTAAACAAATGAAATCTGAACAATATGATTATTTAGTATTAGCAACTGGTTTACGACCAAGAAAATTACCACCATCAATTCCAGGTGGTGATCTTCGAAATGTTTTCTATTTAAGATCAATGGAAGATGCTAATAATCTTGTCAGTATGTTTTCATTGTTCTTCGATTTTTCTTTTTTTCTCTATTCCTGTATCCAATAGATAAAGTGAAATCACCTGAAACAAAAAATATTGTTATTATTGGTGATTCATTTATTGCATTGGAATTATGTGGATGGTTAACAACAGGTTTAGCTGGTCCGAATGGAAAACAAGAAGATGCTGACAAGAAAAATGTTTCAGTAGTTATGCTTTTAAAAGCTCCAATGATTCGTACGAAAAAATTGTTTTATATTTGTAAAAGAGAAATCTATTATTATACTCTAGGTATTTTTGGTGAAAAAATTGCTCGAGCTGTACAAAAAGTTCATGAAAAAAATGGAGCTAAATTTTATGCTGAAGCTAATATTACTGAATTAACAGTTTGTTATTTTAAAATTAATAAATTTATTTTATTTCAAATTATTTTCAGGGAGAAAATAATATTATTAAATTTGTACAATTAGAAACAGGTGAATCGATTCCATGTGATTTAGCTATTGTTGCAATTGGTAGTGAATCATGTACTGAATTATATAAAGATTCACCAATTGAAATGTCTGAAGATCATTTTATTAAAGTTAATGATCGTCTTGAAACATCTGTTGAACATGTTTTAGCTGTTGGAGATATTAGTAAATATCCATTACGAGTATTTAATTTAGATGAAGTTAATTGTCAACATTGGCAAATGGCATGTTCAACTGGTCATCAAGCTGGTAAAAAAATAAGTTTTATATATTCTATTTGTTGAGAGTACACTCTGATTGTTTTGAAAATATTTAGAAACAAGATTGTAAAGTTTCTTTTCTTATTTCAGAAGTTGCAGAAAATCTAGGAGTAAAAATTTTGTTTATTATTAATCCTCTTATGCTTTACTCACTACGAAATTGAGTTAAACATGCACAGCGTATTTTCTTCACTGAATAATCTATTGAATCTGATTAATTCGTTTGATCTGTATTTATTTTTCAATTTTTAATCTAGCTGATACAATTTTACATCATTATCTTGGTCAAACAAAAGGTGGTTCACGTCCATTGAAAACTGATTTTTACACTGTACCAATCTATTGGACAACACAAAATAATAAAACAACAATTCGTTATGCAGGTTATACTCGTGATCCTGAAAATGTTGTTATTCATGGTGATCTTGATGGTGAATTTAAATTTGTTGCATATTATATTGTTGATGGTTATGTACGAGCTGTAGCTCAATCAAAATATGATCCATTATCAAGTGAAGTTGCTGAAGTTTTTCATCATCGACGAAATATTCGTAAAGAAGACATCGAAAATGATATGTATGGTTATCGAAAATATTTAGATTTTAAAACAAAAAAACCTGAATAAACATTATTTTTTTCCTCTTATTCTTTTGATTTATTTTTTAACAATGTTTAACATTTTAACGTAGATTTCCTTACTAATCCTTTTCTTAATAAAAATAAAAAAGAAGTAGAAACTATATGATTATTCCTATAAGAATCTTTCTTTTCTTTCAGATGGATGATGAAAAGGATATATACTCACGTATACGTTGTCCAAAATGTGAACGACGTTTAAATAAGCCTCATGAATTAAACTGCAAACATTTAGTTTGTCGAGATTGTCTTGAAAGTAAAATAAATATTTTTAATTCATACTGATGTTTTAAATATTTTCTGTTTTTGATTAAGTTATTCTTCAAAATCATCGTACAAATGCTCGTTGTCCAACTTGTGAAAAACCTCTTGAGAACTATGGGATTGAAACATATTCAGAATTATCACCAAAACATGCTGTTTCACGTCTTCTATTAACGTTCAATGATGTTAATCAATGTGAAACTTGTAAAACTTTTACAACAGTAGAAAAATGTTCAAAATGTTCAAAAGATCAATGTGATACATGTTTGGATAAACATATAGAAACGCATAATCAAACCAAAAAACAAGTGAATACAAGTTCAGATGATCTTTCTAAAGATGAAAAAGAACTTCTTGAATCACTTAAGAATATTTTAACAGAAAAAGAATATGAAGATTTCGTTCAAACAGCAAAACTTTATCTCAATGATGCTATTTCAAAAGGCAATGATACAAATAAATCTTCTAGATCAAATGAATCACCGGTGAATATTGAAAAAACTCCATTTTTCGTAGAAGCAAAACCTTATGATTGGTCTCAACATGAAAGATTTATTGCAGATGATATTTTGAATAGTAAACCGGAACGTGTTCAACAATTACTTCGTCTTAATTTTACTCCTCGACCTTATCAAATACGAATGGTACGATGTGGATTGAAAAAAGAAAATTCACTTGTTTGTCTTCAAACTGGTGCTGGAAAAACATTTGTAAGAAATATTCTTTCTTTTAATTTTTATTAAAGTAAACAATATACTAGGTTGCTGGAATTGTTGCTAAATTCTTTTATATTCTTTCACGTCAAAAACTGAATAATTCACCAAATATACCAAGACAATTTAAAGCTGTTTTTCTCGTTCCAATTAAAGCTTTAGTTGATCAACAATGTGAAGCTTTTAGAAAAGTTTTCATCGATGAACCTGATTCAATACTTCTTAAGGTTGAGAATCAAGCTGGAGAACGGTAAATAAATATAATTTATTGGAAAAATAAAATAAATTATTCTTATTTAGATTTAAAGATCTGTTTAATAATTTCAATATTTTCTTTATGACAGTACAAAAATTTGCTAATTTTGTTGAAGCAAAACATGCTGATTTAAAAAAATTTGATTTAGTTATGATTGATGGTAAGATTCTAAAGAAAAAAATAATATATAAATAAATCAAATTTATTTTTATTATATTGAAGAATGTCATCATTGTTATGACAATCATCCAATAAATAACATGATGCGTCAATATCATCGCTTACAAGCATCCGGTTATGATGTACCACAAATAATAGCCTTGTAAAGAAAAAATAAAATTTTTTTATAAAATTATTTTCAAAGTTTATTAGGGACGTACCGAGGTTTCCAGGGTGGAAAAGGCGTAAAACCTTAGTACCTCAAGCTCTAAAAGGAAGGGAAGCGTAACATACTTTTTACTTAAATCTAACACCAAAAACACGTAAAAATGCATGTTTTTGATTTTATTGACCAAAAAAAAACTAAATTTTTCCAAAGCAGAGGAGGAGCGTAAAGCCCCACACACACCATAGTCGGTACGCCTCTGTAGTTTACCGTTTTTTTTTCTAGAACAGCAAGTGTTGGTACAAATAAAAAGAATGCATTTGATCATCTTGTTCATTTATGTGCAAATCTTGATTGTTTTGATATATGTGCTATTGGAAGAGGGTTGGAAGAAGAAGAACTTAAAAATTCAACAAATACACCAATGGCTGATCACATTGTAACTGTATCAAAAGAAGAATATGATCCAATCGTTATAACACTTAAAGATAATGTTATGAAAACCATTGCAAATCGTCTGGCTCTTGATATATCTGCAATGGATAATCAAAAATTAGAAAATGAACTTGTACAACGACATAAAGATGCTTGTAAAACGAACGACCATGATGCAGTTGTTGGTACTGATTATTTACGAAAATTTAATGTATAAACGAATTGCTTTGGCTTTTTTATCTTTTATTTATTATTTGTAATTTTTTTATTTAGCGTTTTCTTATATTTTATGATGATTTACCGTTGAAGCAATGTATGCAATGGCTTGAAGACAAATTAGGATGTTCAACACCAAGTTTACCTACACGATTTGAGAAATTTTGTCAAGAAAAATTAAAAGAATTTCGTGATTGTGCTAAACAACAAATGCTGTCTTCAATTATGGACAAGCCTAAGTTACGAAAACTTATTGATTTGATAACAAAGCTACATGATCCTGGTTGTCGAGGTAATATTATGAAATTGTATTTCTTAAGTATCTATTTTTGTACTCTTATTTCAAACTATAACATAAGATATTAACAATACATACATACATATGAACTACAAGAACTATTGTAACTCATTGAATATAGACAATTATATATACATAAAAGATCAACAAAGTTATTTGTCTGTTAATTATATCTAGGAATAAAAAGCAGAGATATTAGTTGAACCCATTATTTGAAAGTAACGAAAATTATAAAGATCTTTTATTTGATAACGTAAGCCTAATCTAACCTCAGAGTAGTGGGTTGTTTTCTAAAAATTCATAGTCTTGATATTCTAGTTATTAAACTACCAGATGAAACTAAAGTAAAAATATATATGATTTACCATGTATTGGATCAAATCAATTAACTTGTTATTTTACTTTACCTATAGAAATGTATAAATTCTTAATCATATTTTACAGGATTAATTCTTGTGCGTACTAAATTTCATACAGTTGCATTGGAAGAATTTCTTAATAACCATCCAGATATAATGAAACGTCAAATAGCTGTAGGACATCTCACTGGACAAGGTTCAGCGGACGAGCTTTGTTTACCAGGCACTCAACAAGCCGTGCTTTTGAATGAATTTCGAAAAGGTAAATTTTTTGTTTTACAATATAATATGACACAGTTGAATATATTATTTTTCAGGTACAAAAACTTTACTTGTTGCAACTGGTAAGTTAATAAACTTCTACTGAATAAATATGAATATATCTTTGTTGCTTATATAGATGTTGCTCAAGAAGGTTTAGATGTAGCTGAATGTTCTTATGTCATTCGTTATGAATTTGTATCAAATGAAATCGGTACTGTTCAAAGTCGTGGACGAGCTCGAGCTTCTCAAAGTAGATGTTTTATTCTTACAGAAGCGCGTAAGTTCATTAACTGGCAATTCTATTGATTAATAACTAGTTCATGTCCTTATTTTGAAGAATCTATAAATTATCAACGTGAATTAGAGAATCGTGAACGAGAAAATGAAATGAAAGAAGCAATTGATGAATGGCGTAGAAGAGGAATTGATGAATTTCGAACACTTGTAAACAAAGAACAAGTACGATCTAAATATTTATTGATTCATTAAAATTTACTTCTTCCTTTCTAGGAGGATTTAATAAAGGAATTGTGTAAAAGTGATAGTCAATCAGGTGCTACAAATTCTTCTCAAAATCATCAAAAACCCGCAAAGGAGATACATTGTCGTTTTTGTGATACATATCTTTGTAAAGGTTCAAGTTTACGACTTCAAGGCTCAACTATTGTTTGTGTCGATTCAGAATTTGAACGACTTGTTAATCCACGGAATTCAGCTGGAGGTAATTTTAATTAAAGATTAAATATTTTAGAATTTTGCTTATTTTCTAGAAAAATTTAATTGTCCTAACAAAACATGTCATAAAGAACTTGGTGTTGTTGTTCTTCTCTCACGTAATTCTCCAGCATATGCATTACACATAACAGCATTAAAATTTTTTATGAATGATAAAAATGAACCCGTCCTTTTAAAAAAATGGAGTCAGTATCATGGTTTTATGAAACCAGCAGTATAATTTTGTTTTAAATTATTTTAATAAACCAGAACTGTATTTTTTGTATTAAGTTTTGTTACTAATAAATATTTATAATATATTTTCTATTTAAATTATCATTAATGACTTAAATGTTATACAAATGAAAGAATATTTAATATTCAATCGATGTTTAGACTAGATGAAGAATCATGATCACAAAAAATATGCAAACACATAGCCTTCTATTTGAAAAGTTCGATGAGTATTTGACATTTTATCCAAATTTCTATGGCAATAAAACTTCGATCGTCTAAATGTTTCGACAGTATTTCAGAATACAAACTATATGAGTTATTCAATCAAAATTTAGAGTCTTGTTTTTGCACTTTATTCAAACATGTATCATGTGATAAAAATATATGAGTCAAGTATAGCGTATGAATGTCATGTGAAAGTGATGAGTATGCGAAGTGCATATTTAGATAGTCAACTGATGGGTTGTTAGATAAACATAAGATACAGAGAAATAAATAACACATGATTCATGTTTGGTTGAGAGTAATTTATTTTACGCATAATGTATATTATCGTATTTTTTTCTTTCATAATACATTCGATAGGTTACTACAAGTAAGCTAACACAAAAACAAACCTTATTTTTATCCATGATTCAAAATATTACTCATCCGAACGATTTCTGAGGCTATTTTTATAACAATTACGAATATTATTTATTATATCTTTGAAAACTATTTATAATATTATAAATATGTTTAGTGAATCGATGATTATATTTAACAAGCAAATACATACATTTTCTACTATGAAAAGATTGATAAAATCAATCGAAAATTTTCGTTTTATTCTATTCAACAGCGACCTCTTTCGTTATAATTCTACGATTATTGTTTTTTTTTCTATTTAAGATCATTTATAATCATTTATTAAATAAACAAAATCTTAATTACTATTTAATTACTTCATATATCTTTTAAATAATATAAAACATCATTGAAATCGTATCGAAGGTACAATATCCATCTCATGGCGGTCGATTACACAAAGAACGCACGAAAAGCACGCGTTATGTTTCTATTGATATGTTGATTATTTACGATTTTTTGGTCATTGATTATTATTCTTTATTCGTGTGTATTTTGTAACTGAAAATTGTCGCGCGTGATCGCCGTCGTTATTAACCCTGTTTTCTATTGTTCATAGTGTACATAGGCCTTGTCTATCTGTTCCCTTTTCGTATCTTGATTTCGACGTTTTGTACCTATGTAAAAAAAAAAATAGACGAAAAACGACCATTATACATTCATCAATTTTGAACTATTAAACCCCGGCTGATTATTTTGAACATTTTTCTATTTCTGGTCAAGCAGTTTTCTTTTTTCTTTCATACTTTCGATATAAGTACAGTAAGTAATATTTAATTTAATCGAAATTTTTATATTCATTTTATTTATTTTATCTAGTTATTCTTATATATTTCATAAAATGTGGACATCACAGAGTAGTACGGATTATAATTCCAATGGTAAAAGCATATTTTACTGATGAAGTTTTTATATGTATGATTATTTTTTTCGTTTAGACCGTTCGGCTCATTCTGTTTCGCAACCGATTAATATGCCAAATCGACCATCGGATTTAACCGCAGGTTATGTTGATCAACATAGTGCTGTTTTTTCACCTAAATCAACGGATCCAACTAATCTCGGTGTTAATATGTGTATGAATATATTAGACGGTGATAACTCACCACGTGTTAAAGATAGCACAATTAAAGATGTTTCACAACGTTTACAAAATATGAAAATTTATGTACGTATATCAATTCTATCTTTTAACGGCTTTGGTGAAAGATAATTCGATTACATTTTCAATATACTTAGTTTTAACCGTAAAAATATATTAAATTTATTGCATATTCTCGTTAGTAGTAAGACTATTAAGAATAAATCAACAGTAGTTTTATTTTAATTTCGCATACGTTAGATATTCATTAGATCATCTGTTTTTATATATTATATAAACTATTTTCAAGTATTTGTTAAGTGTTTAAACGACTATTTGTCACTTAAAATAACTTTATCACAATATGAATCACTTTGAATAATTTCAAGAGAGTACATCAATTTGGTAGGTACACCAGACTAAACGATTTCTCTCTCATATATAGATATGCTCTTTAATTGATTATGCAAGATGTAAAATACTTTTCTGAAGCCATTCTTTCTTTATCTATTTTGAAAATACAAAATTTAAACTTTTCTATTGATATTATTTTAATAAATATATTTGTAATTGCCTGTTAATTCTTTCAAGATCATGAAAATGATAAATTAAAATATGATTATATCTATTTAGACTGACAGTGATAATGATAAAAAACCACTTGATAATTCAACTGATTTTCATGTCGATGATGGTAAATCTGATGAGACAATAGGTGATAATGTACTACCAAATACAAGTCGTAAACAATCGCCACATTCATCTCCTGGTCATATTAATAATGACTTAACAAATGGTATAACAAATGAAAATCTTTCATCAAATGATCAAATAGGTCCTAATAATGATACAAACGATAGTGGAATGCCTTCAGGACATTCAATGATAAACGGTATGCCAACAGCATCAGTGCCAATACCATTTCAACGAATACCAACAAATGATCATCAACAGCAACAACAACAACAACAACAGATGTTACTTTATCAACAACAGCAGCAGCAACAACAACAACAACAACAACAACAGCAGCAGCAACAGCAACAGCAAGCGTAAATTAATAAAAAGAAAAGAAAAAAAAATATATAATATTTTGATTTTTAGTTATCAAGCACAATTTCAAATGCTTCAACATCCGGCAGCTCATTATGAAATGGATCCACGTTCATCAAATTTTCAACCGTTTGATTATACATTAATTCAACCACAGTCGTTCGTTTAAAAAATTTTCTTTTTCTTTCATTTAATAAATAATATTTTCTCTTTTTTTTAAGATATGAGAGTCAATCAATTATTTCAGCTTTTAATCCACAAGCATCAGGTGGAAATCAACAGGATGCACAATTAGCTAATCTAGCTCAAGGGTCACTTATGTCATGGTTACCAACAAGTGTTGCTGCACAACAACAATCGGCTAATCAACAAACACCATATGGTTCATCATCAAATCAATACATACTTAATAGTAATCAAGAAAATTATTTACAATCATTAGCAAATTTTCAACAACCTCAAGCTACACATCCATCGTATCAACCGCAGTATTGGTCAGCCGTACCAACTACTCTTATGTTTTCTGCTCCACCACCGCAAACAATATTAGCACAACAACAGACGTTAAATAACGAACAACATTCACCACAATCGAAAACTAATAATAATAATCGACCATTAACACCGTCGAATTCAAATGATTTATTAAATTCATCACAATCAAATCAACAACAATATATTAACATGCCTGGTGCTACACAAACAGCAGGTATTTAAAATAATAACTTGTAACTGATAGGAAACTATTTTTATTTCTTTTTAATTTCAGTTAATTTTCCATTTTTTGCCGCTGCTTCACCAACATTTCTTGATCCAAATCTAATGATGCAAAATTCCAGACCACCAAATGGATCACCTGGAATTCGTATGTATCAACAACAAGTACCAATTCCAAGTAATTTATTCGATAAATAAATATTCACTTCTTATCTATATATTCTATTATAGTTAATACAAATAATCAAGGTGGTCTTTATGGTAGTCCAGTTGCAAGTTCACTCTCAAGTTCATTTAATGGTAATTCTAACAGGATTGATTAAAAAGAGATATTAAAATTAGCAAGTTCATCATTCAAAATGAAAACTTTTCACAGACTGATTTTTATTCTTTCAATTTTTTCTGTAAACGATATCTTTTTATTCATAGATGTTTATACTGTTCCAAATCAACGACGTGATGGTTCAATAGCCGATTTTTCACGTTATCCAGGTGATCTTCGTTTATCTAAACAAGGACAACAACAACAAACTCCGTTATATCATGGTCAAATTGGAGGTTTACCACCATCACCTGCATATAATAATTTAATACCTTCGATGACTCCACCACCAACATCAAATACAGCAAATTTTGATGGAATGTTTAATGCTCGATTTTTTCCACCAAATAATCAATCAAATAATGGTTCACAACAACAAATTATTAATGGTAATGATATGTATGTTGGCCGTCGTAGTGTTGGTAGTATAAGTGGAGCAATGCCAAGTTTTTATCCTCCTAATGTATTTGGTGGCAATGGAAATAATACAAATAATTTAAGTGGAAATGGTAATGCTCGTGATACCAATGTTAATCGAAGTAAATTATTAGATGATTTCCGTAATAGTCGAATGCCAAATTTACAATTACGTGATGTAATTAATCATTTTACGGAATTTTCAATGGATCAACATGGTTCAAGATTTATTCAACAAAAACTTGAACGTGCAACAAATACAGAAAAAGATATGGTTTTTAAAGAAATTCTTCCTAATGCACCTCAATTAATGACTGATGTTTTTGGAAATTATGTTATTCAAGTAAAGAAAACAAATTTTGATTTTTTTTTTTTAATATAAATAATTCCTTTTTTTAGAAATTTTTTGAATTTGGTACATCAGAACATAAGGCATATTTAGCTCAACGTATACGTGGAAATGTTCTATCACTTGCATTACAAATGTATGGTTGTCGTGTAATACAAAAAGCTGTTGAAACTTTACCACCAGAGTATCAAAGTCAAATATCTCGAGAATTAGAAGGTAATGTTGTTAAATGTATTGAAGATCAAAATGGTAATCATGTTATACAAAAATGCATTGAATGTTGCTCAAGTGAAAGTATTGAATTTATTATACGAGATGTTACAAGACAAGTTTTTTCACTATCGGCACACCCATATGGTTGTCGGGTTATACAACGTATACTTGAAAATTGTAAAGAATCCCAAACACGACCTATACTTGATATTTTATATAATGAATTAGAAAATCTTGTTCAAGATCAATATGGTAGATATTTTTTAGATAAAATAAGAATGATTTAATCTAATTTTTTTTTCACTAGGAAATTACGTTATTCAACATGTATTAGAACATGGTAAAGTTGAAGATCGCAGCAGAATTATAAGTGCGATAACTGGTCGTGTACTTTCATTATCTCAACATAAGTTTGCAAGGTACAATATAAAAATAATGAATGATTTTTAAGAAAGAAATTCTTTTCTTCATAGTAATGTTGTGGAAAAATGTGTAACCTATGCAACAAGAGATGAAAAAAGACAACTGATTGATGAAGTTGTTTCGTTTGGTGATGGGTAAGAAAAACACCTCTAGAAAATATTTAGAATAAAATAATTATTTGTTTCATTTTTTTTAGGCCTAATTGTGCTTTACTGACAATGATGAAAGATCAATTTGCTAATTATGTTGTTCAAAAAGTAAGTTATCAAAACGAGAAGTTTTCAATTCGATGAAAATATTACATATATATCTTTTTTGAAAGATAAGAAAATGACAATTTTCGACAAATATTAATAGACAGTATTAACATTGATTAAGATAAATGATATCGAAAAATAGAACGATATTAATCATCCTTGAAAGAGAAACATTTATTTATAGCAGAAATCAAATTGAATACTAGCACTTAGTGATATCTCGCGCAATTGACAAATTTTTTTATTGATGTTAAGTTTTATGGATGAATTCAAATAAAAAAAGGTGTGAATATATGAGTTTCTTCTCTCTTTGAATACTATATACTCATATTGACATATATTTTCCTCGTTATTCATACTCACCTCGGCGGTTGAATTGTTGTTTGAAGATAAAAGAAAGAAGAAATGATTAATTGTCAACAAAAATATCATTTCACGAAAAAAGATAGAATTACTTGAGATACTAATAAATATTTGTATAAGTATAGTAAGTAGATTTGTTATCTTATGACGCGTCAATATTGAATATATTTAAGATTACTTGATAGAAAGTTTTCCGTGATCTTATTCTAGTAAGCTATTTTTATCATATATAATTTCAAAATCTACGATAGTTAATTATATATGACAAACGAGAACTTATTAACTTCACAAAGAGATTAAGGAAATAGCTTACAATCTTTCTAAAGAAAGAGTACATCAGATATGAGCATAGATGCGAATGATTAGTAAACTACAGAGTCACCCTGACTCCGACGATGGCGGGGGCGAGCATATAATCGTGAAAAAAAATTTCCGGGGCCAATATTGGAGTTACGTCAATAAAACAGTCAAGAGGTTTACGTTTTGTTTAACAGTATTCTTATTATTCATCTGTTAAGTAACTAACAAATAAAATATACTAATTCAAGGAAATTAATATATCATCTAAGTCATTAAAACTATCTTCGGCTTCTAACCGTCATTGTGTAAGAATGTTGCAAGTAGATTCTTGAGACGACACTGTGAGCTGTTCACTTTTAGTGATTCAGATGTTGGTCAACTGCAAAAATATTTCCAGAGTCGACTTTTTCGACCCCGTAGTTCAGTTATTCTTGAAGGCATAGACACGTTTTGAAAACATTTAAAGGACATTAGTGAATAAGCTAATTGGTTCGTGCTTAATGTTATGTCTCCCCTCTCATAGATTTTTGTTGTTCTTGAAAAACAGAAAAAACTCTCTGTAATGAGTATCACAAGAACTTTAGCAGGACAGATGTCTACTGATACGCAGAATAAAATCACTCTAAAAGATTATCAAACTAAACGAAAAAATTTAGTTTCAACAAAAATCGTTTATTATAGAAAATTATTCTCAACATTTATTTGTTGAACTTCTCGTTAATTTATAATAAATATTATTCTAATCTTCTTTATAATATTTCGATCAATATAAGAAAAAAAAATGAATGCTAACATTCAGCTGGTGTTTTCCGGCGAAAGATTCTCTATATATATCCATTTTGAAAATTACATCTTCATTGTTCGTAAACCGCCTTAACTCCTACGCATTACTACATGCAAGTCAATCACATGCATATAATTTGTAATCTACAGGAAGTGTACAAGAACAACACGTCCGTTAAACATATGAGCAATTTATGCGTTATTCAATTATTGATTTTGTGTTTTTAGAAATAATATATATATATTTACTTGATATTGAATTACAAAACTAAACAGTATTTTATCACTTACTTATAAAGTTAATTAATATATAATCACTCGTAACAATAAAATAAATATAGATGAAAGATTAAAAATTCGAATTTATAACAATACGTAAATAGAAGAGCAAATACTATTTGTTTTAAAATAATCTTCCTTAAATTCCCATGTATTATCATTCTGAAATATAATATCATGAATCTTTTCATTGACAATAAGAGCTATTCCATTATCTTTTCTATTTTAATTCTCAAAGGATTCCATTGAAAAAGTTTTCGACTATATTTAGAAAATCTCTTCTTTTATTAATATATAATATTTTATCTAATTAATACTCGAAGGAAGAAGATATCTATTTTTAATTAATTCTTTTATTTTCTTTTTCAAATAAAATTAGATGATCGATGTTGCTGAACCAGCTCAAAGAAAAACTTTATTAACAAAAGTTCGTCCACATATACAATCACTTCGTAAATTCACCTATGGTAAACATATAATAACAAAACTTGAAAAATATCTAAGTAAAAGTTCGGATATGGGTCCTCCTCTATCAGCATCAAATTCAAATGGTTTATCACATTATGACAATTAACATTATATATTTTGTTTGATTTGTTTTCTTTTTTTTCATTTCTCTCTCTCTCTCTCTTTCTCTATTATTCTATAGTTAGATTATTTGTTTGTTTGTTTGTTTTCTGTTTTTTTTCTTTTCATTGCGTGACAGTGGTCGCTCTCAAGCTCTGTTTTTGCTGTGTACATATATATATTTATGGTTCAGGCGATGTGTTTTGGTCTTGCCAACCTAATACGATATTGATTATTATCATAAGAGATTATTGTTATATATATATTTTTTTTGTGCTCAAAATAAGAGAAAAAAAAACGAGACAGAGGAGACAAATTATTATGTATAGCTTTATTATTTATCATCTGTAATTGATTCATTTATATAATATAAATATCTCTCTGTATGTTTTGTGTGTGTAATTCATATATTGTAAAGAACTTTTTGTACGAAGTGGAATACACTTTCTACTAATGAAGAAAGATAAAAAAAAACAGAAAAATGTGAATTCATACTCGAACGGTGAAAAGAGAAAGCGAAATTTTTGGAATAGTTTATTGACCGCTGCGCACAGTTTATTTTTTTTTCTTTTTCGTCTTTATTATATATGTCCTTTTTTTTTTCTTTCGTCTCAGGGGAATGTGTGTATGCAGACACGTTTCACTATCATACGCATACGTACGGTTTTTTTCGGTTTTTTTTTGGGTTTCGTATATACATGTTTTTCTTTTCTCTTTTGTATCACCAGAAACGATTTTGTTTTCGGTTCTTTTTCTTTTTTTTTCGTCAAACTTAAATCTGTTTAACTTGTTCTGGTTCTTTTTTCATGTAGTGAATGACCTGATTTTCCTTTTTTTGTTCTTTTGTTTTCTTTCATGAAGTCTCAGTTTTTTTTCTTTCTTCTTTTGTTTGCTCTTTTTTTCTCTCTATTCATCTGTTCGCATTACTCAACTACATGTACTACTAACGAAAAATAAATAGACAGAGAAAAAAAAAAATCTAGGAAATTCTTCTTATGCTCGATGCTCGACAAAGAATACATTTATAAATATTCATTTTTTTTTATGACAAGAATTCAAGTCATTCAATGTTGATTTAGGAACTTGTTAATGGTAAAAAAATAGTTGATTTGTTATCTTAAATGTCTGTTATAATATTTCCCTATTCATTAGCATAAGTAATGATTATAGGAAGTGTGTTAAGAATGATATGCAAGTAGATCGAGTGACAATTAGCCTTTTGTATGGAACAAACGCGTCATCATTTCTCTCCGCCATACATCTTCCGCTCCAATGCAAATAAAACATATTCTCGCGCTTCTTTTCTTCTTCCGCTTCTCTAGATTCCTATAATTCATAAGCAATATTCTCACACACATATATATATATATATGGGTAATTGAAATCTACAAACCTAGCGTATGATATAGAATAAGGAAAAAACATGCATGGACAACAGTATCACGGAGCAGTACAAGCGCCACCTCCGCCTCCATATCAAAATCACATGGAACTTAATCAACAATTATCTACCTATAGTAGATCAGCCGAAGAACGTATGGCTGATTTTCAACAACTTGTTGCTCGTTATGAAAGTAAGTTTTAATTCAAAGATAGATAAAGAAACAACTTTTCTTTTAATTATTATTTAGTTAATCATACATTTGCTACAAAATTACGTGTTCTTGAAGGTTATGAAATCGTATTTATTTGTGATGATTCAGGTTCAATGAATACTCCACTTGGTAATTTTCATATTTATCTTCTATTTTATTGATTGTTTTGAATTATCTTATCATTTTAGGCGATCTTTCTGGTCCATTTGATAAAATGCCATCACGATGTATGTTACTATTATATATTAATTTTCAATACTAAATTTGTATAATTATAGGGGATGAATTAAAACAAACCGTATCAATTGTTGTCGATTTAGCAAATGTTTTTGATCCGGATGGTGTTGATGTATATTTTCTGAATCGTGAACCTATATTTCATGTTCAAAGTTCTGAACAATTATTACCAATCTTTGCTATTCCACCAGCTGGTATATCGAAAAACAAAAATAAAGTATTTTTTATTTTTTATTTTGAATCTAAGGTCCAACTCCGATCGTTCCAGTTTTTCGACGTGTACTTCGTGATAAACAACATGAAATTGAAGAACGTAGATTACTGATACTTTTAGCAACAGATGGCGTACCAACAGATAATCAAGGCCATCGAGATATTCGTTCGTTTGAATATGTTCTTAAACAAGAACGTAAACCAACAGATCGTATACCTGTGACAATTATCGCTTGTACAGGTATGAGAAAAATAAACCTTGAGAATAGAATCAAATAACAAAATTTCCTTTTGAATAATAGATGATGATGATTGTATTGGTTATTTAAATGATTGGGATAAGAAAATTCCTAATCTTGATGTTGTAGATGATTACAGAAATGAAAAAAAAGAAATTCAAGGACGTCAAGGCAAACATTTTCCATTTAGTTTTGGTGACGTAAGTTTTTCTTTTGATTATATCTCTTAATATATCTGAAGAATCATTTTTCCTTCTTTTTTTCTATTAAGTATGTCGTCAAGATTCTTATGGGTGGTGTTGATAGTTGGTTTGATGATTTAGATGAAAAGAAAGTTACAACTGATGGTTATGGACGACCAAGTGGAAGTGCTCGAGGAAAACGAAATAAACAAAGATGTGTTATTTTATAATGAAGTAATTTTTCGATGAAAAAAAAGTTTCGAAATTCTATGTATGTTTATTATAGATTTTCCTTCCACTTGATGATCTATGATTTCAAAATTTAAAGTACTAGCAATTAATCTATCGATTATTTGACAAATAATATATATATATATTTATCTTCTATCGAAAAATATTCCAATCGTTACATGTATAATATTTTTTATTGTTTTATAGTCTGTACTATAGGCTGTAAAACAAAAAAAACCTATTACATGTAAAATCTTTTACTATTACTTATTCTTTAAAAGATAAAATATTTAACGTTCGTTAAAATAATCGTTTGATCAATGGCGTTGGTTTTAACTCAGCAAAATCCAATTGTGAATATTGTCAATAATTTTTATTTTAAACTGATTTACTTTTTAAAATATTTACAATGATATATACTCATGGCATAATTTGTAAACAAGAATATGTTCATGACACATTATTTGTCATAATTCTTTAAAAAATAAAATTTTTTTAACATGAAAATATCTATGATATATATATCAGGTTATTTGTCTCGTTCATATTCTTTTTTATTACTTATTCGTCAAAGAAGGAAAAGGAAAACGAGAACACGGAATATTACTACTTGCAATCAAGAAATTGTTTTTTCTCTTTTTTCCTTGCTATTATTAGTCTCTATACGCCGTCATCAATGAGAGTTGACGTCAAAATAAAGAAAGACGACATCCAAGTTCGACGTCAGTTATTATTCACGATACTCTCATAGTTTCTTTTTCTTTCTTGTTTAGATAATAGCTGTAAGGATAGATGTAATGATGCAATATAAAACAAAACATTTTTATTAGAGTAGTCTATGTTTTTTATTCTTTCTTTCGAACAAAAATATTTATCTTAGAGAAAAGTAAGAGATAGAACAATCGACAAGAGAGATATATATATTTCAATTAACTCATAGTATTGACTGTAATCATATATGTATCCACAACAATTTCCTGCACCAGCATCAGCACCACCACCACCACCATCAGATCCAAATCAAGTGGGTTTTAATTCATTACAAACAATGAATGGTCCAGGTGCAGTTGATAACGAAGAACGCTTAAGAAAATTTCAATATCTAGTCAATCGCTATGAAATTAATCGAGAATTTGCAACAAGATTAAGAGCATTAGAAGGTTATGAAATAGTATTTATTGTTGACGGTAAGTAGATTTATTAGAAAAATTGAGTATATTCAATATCGTAAAACCTTTTTACGATAATTTTTTATTCAGTTATATCCTCACGAGAATATGTTCTATGTAAATTCAACTATTGTGAAAAAAAGAATAATGGTAGAATGAGAAATTTTTTTCTTTATTAAAAGCATCATTTTAATGATATCTTATTACTAATTCATACTTTTCATTTGTTAAAAGCATTGAGCAACTAAAGCTATATTGTGATGAGAAGGACAAGAGCTTGTGAACTTCGTATATGTAAATAGAATGCTATTCTCCCAAAATATTTACAATGAGATAATTTACATGCTTGACATTTAATTAATGAATGTCAAACAGTTGTGCTTAATGAACTCTGTTATCTTCTTATATGATGAAAAACTTATAGGTTTTCCAGTAAATTAGTAACACTTCTATTTTTATTTAGATTCTGGATCTATGAATACACCATTAGGTAAGATATTTGCTTCTATATGCTGTTGTAAAGAAAATTACTATTCTTTCCTTTTTTTGTTGTAAATTTTGTAAAAGAACTAATAATTTAATTTTCACCTAGAACCAATTAAATGTTTTATGAAAGAATGATGGTAAGGATAAAAGATGTGTTATAGACGTAGATGTATAGGTAAACAGAGTGCGCATGATAGTGCCTCTCTTCTCTACACACATCCTGAAACCATATTTTTATCTAACGATGAAATAGTCTTGTTTACGAGAATTCATAGTTCTTCTTTAGAGGAAATTAAAATTAAAAGTTTTCTAAGTTTATAATTCATGCGGAAAAAAAAAGATTTTTTAATGTACTCTAAACAAGACTGGAATTTTTCATTTCTTATGTAACGTGTATTAATAATTTAAGGTGATCTTTCCAGTCCATATGATCGTAATCCAACAAGATGGGATGAACTTCGACAAACTGTTTCAATTGTAGTTGATATTGCTTCTGTGTATGTTTTTTTTATTATCTATTTTACATGATATATACATTTTGTGTTTTAAATAATCTAGTTTTGATCCTGATGGTGTTGGTAAGTGGGGAAATTTAAATAATGATGATAATCCTTATCTTTTATTTACTATTCAGATATTTTCTTCTTAAATCGTGAACCAATGCGTCATGTTAAACATTCTGATGAGCTCATTCCTATATTTGCTGTTCCACCAGCTGGTATATAAAGAAAAGACAGTTTACTTATATATGATTTTCAATATAAATTAGGTCCAACACCAATTGTACGTGTACTTCGATATGTTCTAAGAGAAAAACAATTAGAAATACAAGAACGTAAACTTTTGCTTTTAATTGCTACTGATGGTGTGCCCACAAATGAACAGGGACAACAAGATATAAAATCATTAGAATATGCACTTCGTTATGATAGAAAACCAACTAATCGGGTTCCAGTTACAATTATTGCTTGTACAGATGATGGTGATTGTATTGGGTATGTAATGATTATTTCATATATTCTTCAATCGTTTGTGTTTTTTTTTCTCTTCATTCTATTCTATACAGTTATTTGAATGATTGGGATAAGAAAATACCTAATCTTGATGTTGCCGATGATTATAGATCTGAGAGAAAAGAAATTCTCAAAGCTCAAGGAAAAGATTTTCCGTTTAGTTTTGGTGATGTATGCTATACAATATCTATTCGAAATATATGATTTATCTATATAAAACATTGTTTATTTTTCTAACAGTATGTTGTCAAAGTATTGATGGGTGCTGTTGATGATTGGTTTGATACACTTGATGAACGTCGAGTAACTAGTCGTACTGGTTCAGGTCGACAATCGAGTAAAGGAAAAAAGAATAAATCATGTTCTATACTATAGAAAATTTGATTATCTTCTTTTTTTTGAAATGTAGAAATGAAATAATTTTTGTGCGGATAATGATATTTTTTCTTCTTCTTTGTTTTCTACTGTTAAACGTATTTGTGTATGTACGTGCGTATATTTTTTTTATATGTTGTATGGTATTTTACAAATTCTTAATTTCCTTTTTTTTTCTTTTTTTGAGTCGATAATTATTTAATAAGCAGCAAATACACTGAATAATTGATAATGATAATATATAAAATAAAAATATATATGTTTGTAAATCAATTTCAAATTACAAGACTTTCAATTTATTTGATAAATTATATCGTTAAGAAAATTTGTTAAGATGATGAATAGAATATATTTCTATGATCGACATATTCTGAAAATATAGTTAAGCTTGATTATATTTAAATATATTAATATGCATAGTCCATCGAGATCTTTTATGCAGAAATACTACGCATCATATTTTATTCATCATTTATTTTCTCATGTCAATGTTAATCATCGAAAAAACTAGTACAGAATCTAGAAGAAGAAGAAGAAAAAAAAATTCATGCTCATGAACTGTTTATTCCTTTGAACGGAAAAAGGAAAAGGATATGAAATTGTCAATGTATGTCAAGAGATTAAGTCGCTATTACTTAAACATTCTACAGAATAATTAAACTATAAACATTGCATTTTAATATGTAATCTATTAATTACTTATAAACGAAATTCCATAGTACGTTAAACGATATAATATCAATAGAAAATAATGTTAAAGGTGTTTGCATAAATACAATATAAAATTACAAAGAATATGTAGATCTATTAAAAATCTTCTGCAAACTATTTAATCATACTCATCTATTACATTCATCGTCATATAAGATCAAGTTTGTATATCATTGGACAAGTTAATATAAAATTATTAATTGAATATAACGTTATTTTTCGGTTACTAATTGTATTGATCAATTTGCATGGAAAATCAATGATGATTTATGACTTATTCATACTTACAATGTTCTAGAGAATAAACATATGTCTAAGTAGTTTGTAAGTTAATCAATGTCATTAAGTTCTTGTCAAATTGAAGTCTTGTTGTTAACTAAAAGTTTTAGATACATTTTCATCGGTTCCTTTGATGATTTTATTTGCGTATTGAATATATTTTCTATCAACTGAATAAAAAGAACATGCAATATGTCCATCGATCACTGTAATCGGATTTGATACAATACGAATATATGAGATGCTAATCATATTCGAAAAATTTTCTCGTTGATATACAATTTCTCATAAGTATGTCGTAGTATCTAATCTAATTTAGAGAAATAAAAAGAAAAATATTCATACTTGTATTCTTGTTTTATGAAGATTTCAGAAACATATACTTGATAAAAACTATTTTATGACTTATTGTTATAGCACGTGGATGTGCTTGTACTTTAGTAATATCTTTTAAAAACGGTATCTGTTAATCTGTTTATTCATATGAAAGTACATACAAAAAATCTTTCATTTATGTAGAAACATGGCAGAGAAAGATAAAGCATATTGAAATAGTGTAGTAGTTATGATATTTTACAAGCTAGAGAATTGTCATAAATTATGATTTTTACTTGAACATTGTCGTGTTAAATCCAATAGAAAAAATAATGCTAATAGCTTCTATATTTGTAAATTCAATATTGATATTATTTTAAAAAAATGATTTAACAATAATTATTTTTATCAGCAATCTTTTTTTATCAAGATAAGTATATAAACTAATCTACCTCGCACGTCGACGAAAGTTTCAAAAAGAATCAACTATCTTTTGATGTTTATTATCATAGATGATTTCCTAGTTTATCTTCTTCTAATAAATAGAAGTAGCTACTAATTTTCGAGCACATATTTGACATATTTGCCATAGAAGTATAGTTTTTATATTTTTGCAAATATTATTTACTCATAACAGTAGGTTATTGTAGTTAACTCGAATTGTTTGTTTTTAGATACCTATCCTTTTAGTTAATAGTTCATTTCTACGTAGTTTTAGTTGATCACATTCATTATCTATCATTTAATAAGTTTTCGAATATATCAAACATTCTTTTATTTCTTTGTTTTGTGTTCGTTGATTGTAAATACATTTTACGCAGGCGAAATAAGTATATTTTAACCTTGGATTGTCTTCTCTTTTACGGTTTGTCTTATCATTTTTTGTATATTTTCTCTTCTTTATCTTAACTTTTAACGACTGGCAAGCTGCTTAACTACATAGTTTATATAGTACCAATACTGATGAACTTCTTTATTAATCATTCAAATAGTAATCGAATAGGGATTTTTTTTGTATTTTGACGTACATACTATCGATCAATAATATATTAATTAGTAGGATAAAACAGACAGTGAATAACAACTATGTGTCATCACTTTCAAATAAGCACACGCGGTATGTCAATACAAGATTGCGTAGGTTGTTAATGACGTCACACTGTTTGACGTCATTTAGAAGACTTTAGTAAATCATTTCTCTGAATAAATATACCCTTTTACGATGTCATTTATTTTCCGTATAAATATATCATAGAAATAAATCACCCTCATCTTAGATAAAAATTTTGATTATTCAAACCACCGATGACATACGTCAATGTAGATTCCGCTCAGTATTCTGGTATGAATGCTCCTTCAGCTCCATTTCAGTCGAACATGCCAACAAATTATAATCGTGCACCTTCTAATATAATGGCAACACCCGAAGAACGTATGCGAAAGTTTGCTGAAATAGCAGCTCAATATGAAATAAGTCATGACTTTGCATCTCGTTTACGACAGCTTGAAGGTTATGAAATTGTCTTTCTCTGTGATGATTCAGGATCGATGGGAACTGCTGTTGGTAAGTCACACTTTTTTTTCTTTACATCAACAATGCATTATCTAATTAATTTTTTATTTTCTAGGAGCTAGTTCCGATGCTTTTGGAGTACGTTCCACTCGTTGGGATGAATTAAAACAAATTGTTACTATTACTGTTGATATTGGTTCTGTACTCGACCCTGATGGTTTAGATATATATTTTCTTAATCGTCCTCCAATATTTCATGTTAAACATGGATCTCAACTTCAATCTGCATTTATTAATCCACCAAATGGTTTAACACCCATAACAAGTGTACTCCGTCGAATACTTAAAGATAAACAGAATGAAATACAAGAACGTAAACTCTTGATTATTATTGCTACTGATGGACAACCAACGGACGATTACGGTACGACTGATATTGAGGCATTAGAACGTGTTCTGAAAAATGAACGAAAACCACCTGAACGAGTTTTAGTAACTTTTTGTGCATGTACTGATGATGATCAAGCTGTTGGATATTTAAATAAATGGGATGAAAAAATTCCCAACGTTGATGTATGCGATGATTATCGATCAGAACGAGAGCAAATCTGGCAGGTAATTATCTACATAAATATATATTTATAGTATATTTAATATCGATTGATTTTTAGGTTCAAGGACGACAGTTTCCTTTTTCATTTGGAGATTATGTAGTAAAAATATTATTAGGTTCAGTTGATCCATATTTTGATAATCTTGATCAGAAACAAGTTGGTGCGAAGAATAATTTGAATTGTTGTTCTTTAATGTGATCTATTTCAATATCAACAAGATAATTATACATTTACATAATGAATTTATTTATTTTCCGATTGCAACGAATGATATAATTTTTTTGCTGTTGTTTACATTTTTGTAAAACTTTCTATTTTTTAATAAAATTCTTGATCTGTAATGTTCACCTACAATCTACTTGAATATATTTTTATAAAAAAAAAAGATTTCTACTTTTATCAGCTAAATTAATAGATACGTCTATACTTGTTCTTGTTATGTGTTTGAGTAAAATATTAGATTAACAGATTATAGTTGATACCATTAAAGTTACTATAGTAAATGCATACCCGATCATTGTGACGTCTACAATCATGGGAACTATTCCTTTTATTATTACAAAGTCAAGAACAAGAAGCAATATGTGTAGCCGTTGACTTAGAAACAAGATCTCGAATCGTTATTACACATATGAATAAAACAAATAAATACAATTCTTTTGCAGAAAATTTCCATTACTAAATCAATCGTAGTCGTTAAATCCTATTATATTTAAAACAATGTAGCATAAGTAATTATTGCAAACGAAAGAAAACATGAGAATATTGACATCATTATTATTCTGTTGTTTTATACGAAGTCAATGGTATTACATATAAATGATAATTTTGAAGAATATTCGATTGCAATCAATACATGAATTGATATATTTTTTTCTATTTATCTTTCATTCTATTATTCATCATGAAATAAACATACACATAGACAAGAGCCATTTCATGACTTAGGACAACGAACATAAGGTTTGTTTTTTTTTGACTTAGATTAAGAGCACAAAGCAGAGAACGTGCATGAGACAGAAAAAAAGAACTTAGATAGGATGAGAAAAAAAAACAAAACAAAAAAAGAATTAATATGTCAAGTATTCATTGGTGCTGTTGATTGTTCATCATTGCCATCAAGTAAAGAAGATGATGATGATGGTGTAAGGATAATATTCGAAAGATCACTACTAGTCGTAGTTGTTGTTGTCGTAGTCAACGATGTTGAAATAGGTGGATCTTTAGATTTAAAAATCTTATATCCAACACCGGCAGGTTTGGGTAAAAGTACAGGAAGAGGACGAAGTGCAATTTTTGTCAAATATGGCGAAAAATTTGTTTTTTGAGTTCGTTTCATATTTTGTTGATCTCTGTATACGAATAAATAAAACGATAAAAAAAAATAAAAACTAGAAAATAATCTTACATTGTTTTAGGTGTTGTTGATAAAGTATTTGCTTCACTCACTGCATATTGAATATCACGAGTGAGTCGATCAAAAGTGACTTCATTTTTTCTGACAATATTTTTTGTTGAACTTTTATAAATTGGTAATAAATTAGCTGGTTGAGCTAAAGTTATTTTTGATCGAATTATTGTTGAATCTTCTTCTTCTTCTTCTTTTATATCATGATTACTATTACTATCGTTTGAACGTGGTGGTGATGAATCATCAGGACAAAAAACAGAATTTTCATCGGCACAATCAGATGTTGTTTCATTAAGTAATTTTAAATTATTTGTTCGAAGTCTATTACGTCGTTGAACATCATTCCATCGACGTACAATTTTTAATGTTTGATTAGAATTTGTTATAACAGATTTTATTTGATGAGAATTACCATCACCATTAACATAAATTATTGGTGATCCAAGTTTTTCATTTAAATCAACTGATGTATGACATAACTAAATAAAAAAATTTATCAATCGACAATATTCTTTTAATTATATTTGCGCTTGCTCTTTCGACTATAATATGAGTATTTTTTTAATATCAAGTGTACTGCAAGGATAACCATTCAAAACAAAGTCTTAGTGATAAAACGAACATTAACGTTGGAAATGTACGATTTTATTCTTAAATAGACATTCCGCTCGGTATTCATTCTTTTTTGATGATTAATGAAATAAATGTCTTTATGTCTAATTGAATGGTTCATTAGATTCAAATATGTAGTACCAAATAGTCAATGATTATTATCAAAAGAATAGAAAATACGATTGCTGTATTGATAGAAATATATGAAGTTTTGTGTAAGCATACAGTAAAATTCAGTAAGAAAACCTCAAATTTATCATATTGATTACGAACTATACGAGCAGTTTTTCGTGTTATAAACATAGAAGAACATCTATATGTGATAACTAAATAAAAAATGATCCATAAGTTGAGCATATTTTTACGATCACATTGCTTTAATTGAATTGTCATCTCATCTGACAGGACTATCAAATCCTACTCCATATAACCTAAACTTGCTGAATAATGAAAATAGGATCGTTGAAACAGTATAAATTACACTTTCATACACACAACATTGTCCATCACATATATCAAATTGAAGTCTATTCAACTTATCAGTTAGAAACGAATTGGTTCGTTTTACCAACTATAAAAATAAGCACAAATTGACATTTTGCATTTGACTATCCTATCACACTATGTTATGGAGAAGCTCATTCTTTTTCAGAAAGATATTACTTATATGAATAAATAACTTACACGTGGTGCAATAGGTTTTGGTCTAAATCGTTGATCATTTCTTGCTATTGGTCGATAACGATTATTGAGTAAACGTGTCATTTTTTTCGGTAGTTGTAAATCAAAATTAGTTGTATGTGTTGTATTTTCAATATATTCATCATCTTCATCTGTATCTGAATGACTTTTATCCGATTCATTGTCATTATGATGATCATGATCATCGTCCTTATCATTATCTTCATCATCTTCATCATCTTCATCATTAAGCATTTTATTCATATCAAAACGTGTACGTCGACGTCGACCACGTTGACTAATATTTTTATTTGAATCATCAAAATAAGATGATGAAATATTACTATTTTCATTTGTTTGACTTATTGATAGCATTGATTCATCACCATGAAGAGTATTTTCGAGATTTTCATATTCAGATTCTGATGCTGTTATACTTTCATCACTTGTATATTCTTTAATTTTTAATTTTCGTTGAAGTGATTTTTTTGAATCACGTTCTAAACGTTTTGTTTCAATAAGATTAAAATTAATTAATAAATCTTTTAATTTTTCTATTAAATAATTTGATAATTTTCTATGTTCACATAATGGACAAAACCAATCACCATCAGGTACAGATAAAAGTATAGGACGTAAACATTCCAAATGATAAGCATCATCGCAATCATCACATAATAATAAGACTTCTGGACGATCACTTTTTGAACAAACATTACAAGCTGTTATTATTGTTGATGCTTGAGCTGTTTTAGCTGTACGTAATTCTTCACCAGTTGGATTATTATCTTCATCAAGTAGAAAAAAATTTTCATCACGTTCAAGTTCAGTTAAATTCGGAAGATAATCATCAGAATCATAATCAGATAAATAATCAATATGTTCATCGGAACTTGAACTTGATAAACATAAATCATCGTCTATATTTCGTCGAGAAGTTGTCTTACGTCGACGACGAGAACGACTAGATTTAGCAGGATTTAAAGAATTATTGGATGTTTTTGTTTTACCATTCATTGATCGTTTCTTTTTAGCATGAGATATCTAAATAGATTTATTTAAAACATGTATATTTTCATTAAATAAAGTTCTAACAACTTAATTTCATCTTGCGGTTTTAGACAAAACAATTCAAATGAAATACTACTAAGTATTGTACTTATTTCTTTTTCTTTATATAAAAGAGTTTCATACCTGTGACTGAGCTTTTGGTGTTAGTTCCATTGTTGTCGATTTTCGAGGTCGTGCTGATCGACGTATAGACTGATCAGTATGACTAACCGATGAATCATCTTGTTGTTTATCATTTTCTTCCATTTTAGAATCATCATCATCGTCGTCATCATTATGAATATCTTCCGTAATGATTTTACGCTTTCTGCCTCTACGAGCTGGAGTTATTACTTCCTCTTTTTGATGCACATCAGATTGTTTTGTTTCTTTGGTTAATGATTTTGTTGAACTTCTTGGTCGTCCACGTCGTTTTTTTGTAGATATATCTAATTCTTCATCTTCATTTGACGTATGCTCAATTTCTTCTTCTTTCATTTCGATTGGTTTGGTTAAACTTCGTGGCCGTCCACGTCTTTTTTTTGTTGATATATCAGATTTTATATCTTCAATGGATATTGGTTCAACCTTTTCTTCTTTTATCTTCATGTCAATTTGCTTTATTGAACTTCTTGGTGGACGTCCAGGTCGTTTTTTTGTTAATCCATCAGATATTTCATTTTGATCTGATGTTAATTCAACTTCTTGTTTTTCTTTTTTTATCGCAGTTTTCATTTGAATCTGTTCTTTAGCTAATGATTTAATTGAAGTTTTTGGTCGTCCACGTTTCTTCTTCATTGATTCATCATCATTTGATATTGGATTAGTATCTTCTTCTTCTTCTTCTTGTTTTACTTTTACATCGATCTTTTTTGATGATGCTATTGAACCCCTCGGTCGTCCACGTTTCTTCTTTGATGATTCAGTAGATTTTTCATTATCATTTGAATTTGGTTCAATATCTTCTTCCTCCTCATCTTCTTCTTGTTTTATTTCCATTTCTATATGATTTTTTTCATTGTTCATTAATTTTATTGAACTTTTCGGTCGTCCACGTCTTTTCTTTACTGATTCATTTTCAGTTGGTGTTGATTCAATATCATTTTCTTCATGTTTCGTATCTACTACCAAGGGTAAATAACGTTCTTCAAAATCATTCGTTGGTAATAACGATGAAAATGGTTCGTAATCAATAGCCCAATCTATACAACAAAAAAATAATTGAAAATTATAAAATATGACATTTATAATAAATTGTACCAGAGAATTTCTTCCGTACAACAGAATCAGTGATTAATAATTTAATAAAATTTTCTAATTCATCTCGATCTCTAGAAAAAATATTTTCGATAAATATTATTTTAAGTAAATTTTCTTGATCTTACTTAGCAACATTACTCCATGTTCGATCGATATCAATATCTTCACGAAATAAACGTACAAAACAATTTGTATCCTACAATAAAATTAAAAAAAAATTGTTTTTATTATGTAGATGTGTATTTCTTTACCACAAAAAGCCAATAAGAAACTCCAAAACGATCACGACCTAATGCTATTGATTTGATTTCTCTTGCTGATTTATCAGCAAGTATTTTTGTAAATGTTTGATTTAGATCAAAATGACTTTCAAGTAAATTCTAATCATAGAAATTGTGAATTCAAAATTATACAAAAAATCTTCTTTTTTACTTTCAAAATTCGAATTTTAACATTAATTTCTGCTTGTAAATATCCTGTTGTTGTTAAATGATCGGCATCATTTAAATCAAATCGAGAAGCAAACTATTAAGAAAAAAATTTCAATAGATTGTTAAAGAGAAACAGAACAATTGATTTACTCGAGTAATAATTGAATCAAATTTATCTCGTTGTGTATTTTTCGCTAATGATAATCGTTTAAGAAGAATAAAATGAAAATCAATCAGACGTGGTGGAACTATATTAAAACAAATTTATTATAAAAGAATTATATATAAATAATATACTTCGTTCTTGATAATTAATCAAATGATCTTCAAGTCGTTGAAATGAATACTTTGGTAAATCGAGTATTGTCCGAAATTTTTCAAGAAAACAAAGAATTATTCCATAATTTGCATCATTTAGTAAGGATAATCGACGTTGATCTTTTTCATCATTATTGTTATTAATAGTAATATTATTATTATTATCTTGTGGACTGAATTCAGTAGAAATTTCTTCTTCAGTAATCATTTGTGTTTTTTATTTATTTTTATTATTGGTAGAACTTTATGTACAATTCTAACCATTCGAATTGATGACAATTTATTGAAAGATCTAAAACAATATATATATTATTATAGATAAAAGAAAAAATTGTTTGTCATAAACGATTTTTATTTTGCTTTCTTCGTTCATGCTGTTGCCCTCGTCCTCGTCTGTAACCGATTCCAATTTTTATCATCTTTGTTAAATAAAAAATATAATTTGTTAAAAAGTTAACGACTCTAAATAAAATAGCATAGATGTCGCTAGTAGAGTTTCTACTATACCTGTTTTTAATGATCTATTGTACTATTGAAAGATATTGTTTAGATTTTATAATTTGTGACTGAATCTATTTTTCTTTTTCTTCTTCGTGGTAAAGATTATAAGTAAAAAAAAGAGGTCGATATATACAAATGTTATATATTTACCAGTTAAAAATAGTATTTCTTTTTGAATTAATATAGGCTTCATTACTTACTTATTAGTAATCACGTCAAGTGCAAATAAAATAAGAAATGATTACTCGTAAAACAAAGAATGAAGTGAAAGTTATTAAAAAAGTAGACCAATCGTCAATTATTTAGTGATTAATGTTTTTTTTTATTTTCAAAAACGTAATCTCCGCACCTGTTTTCTCCGCGTGGTCTACTCTGGACATATTAATATTCATGAAATGAAGACTGCTAAGAAAAGTAATTCTTCTTAACATGAAGATCTTGTGCTTGTCAGTTTGCGTAATTTATTAAATATGTAGCACGGATTTTTGACGCGTGAGACTCTTAAAATACCATGACAAAGAAAAATAGAAGAACTTTGAAACTATAAGCATTTGTGTCCATTATCTCTACACTTATACATTATTAGAAGTTACACCTATGTACGATGAAATATTTATGAGTAGTAGTAGTCGTTTGAGATGAAAATTTTTATTATTAAAAGTATTGCTAAGGCTAATAGTATACAAAGATATTCGTGAATATTATGACAAAAATAGATGTTAAATAAAAAGGAAAAAGTATCTAACCTTCTTCCTTCCACCTGTATGACATATAAATACAACAGGTAGTATTAATATTAATTCAGTCTTTGTTCGAAATACCACGATAGCAACCTCATCGTATTATAAATTTATCGACTAGTACACTTTTTTATTCATATACATGGGTGCGAGTACTTCTGTAACATCTTCGACTGACATTAAGTCTGAACAATGCGCAAAATTAATCGCAAATGATAAAACACAAGTATGTCTTAGATAATTTTTTTGTTTGAACGCCTATCTTAGAGTCATTTGTATTACTGATTATAATTGATGTTTATGCAATTTCTTAGATAATGTCAGGCCTTTCATCGTATGATCTTGTTTGTTTGGGTGTTGGTAAAGGTGCTACTTCTGTTTATTCAAATCAAACTAGTAGTTCATTTGCACTTCTACGTCGTGCAACAGATGAATGTATACTTCTCATTGATATTGGTCTTGGTTCAATTTTTGCTCTTCAAAAATATGTCAAAGACTTTAATATCAAACCTCGACAAATATTTGTTTCACATAATCATACAGATCATAGCGGAGAATTACCTGTATATATTGCTAATGAAGCTTTAAAATCTATTGTACGAGTTTATTGTTATGCTGGCATTCAATCTCGTCTACGACAATATCGTTGTGCTGAACTCGATTCATCAACAACCGATCTTTTTCGAAATGTACAATGGATTACATGTGATGAATCAAAAGATGTTGAACTTGATTCAGGTGATCCAAATTCAATATTAAAAATACGTGTTCAACGAAGTCAACATAGTGAATTATGTGCAGGTTTTGTTCTTTATGAAAATAATCAAGCAATTCTTAGTTTTTCGGGAGATTCAGGTTTTAATACACCATTTTATACATTTCTTTGGAATGCTCCAACAATTTTAGTTGATGGTCGTGAAACAAGTACCTACGAACACGCTAGTTTCGATGAAATATTAAATTTTTATAAAACATCAAGTATTTCACGACAAGTTTTTGTTTATCATTATGGTCTTGAAAATGATAAACCAAAATTTCCTATTGATAATGTATCAGCTGTATCACCTGGTCAAACTATACAATTAATGTTGTCTTTATAGACTTCATTTCATGTATTCTAAACATTTTCAAAGTTTTGAATTTACTGACAAATAAATATTCTTCTTTCTTATAATAATATTTTTAATTCAAGTTAAAAACAAACATTTATTTTCTTTAAATTTTAAAAATAAGTAACAAAATACATTTCAAATATACGGTATATTATTTTCCATCATGTGGATTTAAGTTACCTTGCTTATCTCGCCATATCCCATCAAGACTGAGTCGACCATATTGATGTGTTGATTGATTTTGATATAAAGCATCTATCCAATCTTTAACTATTAATGGTGAATCAATCATAGCATTGATTTCCTATAATAAAAATCAATTTATAATTAAAGAAAAAACAAAATTTTCGTTAATTTACTTGAGAATGAAACCAAGATTGACTATCCATATTACCATTACCCATAATAGCTACTTGACCATCGATAGCCATAAATTTTATATGACAATTTCGTTTTTGTTGTGAAAAATTAAGTGGTCGTGTTTGATCTAAACAAAAATTATTTCATAATTACAAATATCTTTTTTAAATATATTTTAACAAACCTTTTCCTGTATACCAAAAAACTTCAAGAAAACGTTCAGCTCCATTATTTTCATCTCTTAATGTCTTATATAATTTTTTTATAACATGTTCATTTGTTCCTCCTTGAAATGTTCCATGTCCCTCTTTTGAATCATTAAAACCTAAATCAAGCCATAGAATAACTTGAACTCCTCGTTGACATGCTTGTATAATTCCATTAATAGCTGGTTTAGCATTTAAAGTAGGTGATTGAATAAATATCGATTTTTCTGCATAACGAAATGCACCTAACCATGCAGCATCTTGAGGATTTGCTGTATCTGAATGACCAGGTGCACCATGAGGTAAACGATTAACTAAAGCTATAGGAAATGGTTCATGTGGTTCATGAAAAATAAATGGTGTAAAATCTCGAGCAAGTTTTTCTAAATTTTGTTTAGAAAGATATTCATCTGGCTGTGTTTTTCTAGCTGATTTAGCTGATAGATTTAAATGATGTGTTAATGGAGTACTTTGAGATGATAATAAAGGTTCTTGAAAATAAATTTCTGTTTGTTTATCATCTAAATGATTTTGAAGTCTTAAACGTGCTCGAGCTACTGCATTTTGTAATGGTTCGTTGAATGAAACAATTTTTGAAGATTCAATACCAAACTGGAATTCAATTTCAGTTGTTGCATCATCATTTAAACAAACAAGACTTGGATCAAATGGTACCCACCATGAAATAAGAAATGTATCATAAAATGAATTAACAATATCACCTTCATATTGTGACATCATTTCAAGATTAGGTCGATCTTGTATATTATTACTATTTAATATCGCAATACGACGATCAATAACCATAAATTTTGAATGAAATGTTCCCATTATAAGACGATGATAATTATTTATTTCAAGTGATATATTAGGAATTTCATCAGGTGTTGGAATATCATAATGTGACCATTTATGATGTGGAAGAATACTATGAAAATGTGCTAGATTCTCTTTTGTTGGATGATCAATCATTAATTTAAAAATAATTTGACGATTTTCATCTCGTGCACGTTTATTTAAATCACGTATTGCTTTACCAATAATAGTAACACTATGACCTTTTTCCCAATAATTTGTTGCAAATAAAACTTCTTTTTTTGCATTAACTATACAATGATAATAATGTTGCATTATATCTGGAATAGTTGAAATAATAGTTAATGGAACAACACCAGATGAACCAATTAATGCGGGTGAAACACGACCACATAAGGGATCACGTTGAAGTGTAGCTATAACATTATGAAATAATTTAAGAAAAAGTTTACTTGGACGATAAGGAAATCGACCAAATTCAGCAGCAAAATCAAGTTCTTCTTCTGTTATTTCATGTGTAGATGTTTCGTGATTTAACATTGATCGTAAGAAATGTAATGGTTTAGAAAATAAAATATGTGTTGCTTCTTTTGCACTTTTAACAGTTGCGGAATCAGATGCTAATAATGATGTTACCGTTTCTTTAGATAGATTATCTGCTGGAGGTAATTGAACACGATTAAGCATTTCGCTAGGTACTGCGGCCATTATTGAGTTGGATCTTGGATGCATCATCATTTTGTATTCTTCAAGGGCGTATAAAAGAATATAAGTACTTTTTTTGTATTATATACTGAATAGTAGGATATATATATGTATGTTTTCGTTTAATAATCAAATGACATCATCAATAATATATCGAAAACAAATGCGTAGAATAGCAATTATCATTGGTGTATATTATATAAGCAAAACAGACATTGATAACGAGATAACAAAAGGTAAAAAATAAGGAGAAAGAATACAAAAACAAACGTGTGATTATAAGTCAATGCTCATTATAATACGTATCAGCATAACGACAAGGCTGAAATTATGAAATACTAGAGGTATATTCTCGTTATATAAAAACGTGTTTAATTATATAGTGCTTAACCTTGTTTCATCGTTTAAATGTTTATTTAAACAAGAAAGGTATATACAGTTGTTTGTCTGTTATTCTAGCAGATTGCTGTTTCTTTTTAATAGCTTGAAAATTGATATGGTGTATGTAATGAATACGTAGATACTATGATCACAGCCTCATTTTCTATTGTAATATCGCTTAATTTAATATTTTTATAAATCAACAATAAAAAATCTTTTACTACTATAGAACAAGCAAAAATTTCATCTCCTGAAATTTAATTGTAGTTTTACAAGTTACATAGAAAGATGTTAAATAAAGTATTTATTTTAATCGTTTTATTAATTATTTGAATAATAAAATATATTTGTTACATATTTTCGCTAGGATTAATAAATATTACAGTAAAAATAAGAAGATAATATATGGCTCGAGCTTGAATATTAATAAATCGTATAGATAACTTTTGTTTTCTTCGATCAATACGCTTTTGGTTGTTTGATACTATCAGTTTTTTCATCTACACCAGCTTCTGTATCTGGTCGTTCTAATGCTTCTTCTGGCAAATGTCGTCCATAGATATAAGTCAATGATTTGAGTTTATCTTTTGCAGATTGTTTCAATTGCTCCCATTGAAATCGCCATCGCCAATTTTCTTCATAATCAGGTGTAAATGCTCTACAAAAAACAATTTTTTTGAATAAATCAATCAAAAAGAATCTTTTTTTTTGTAACATACGGATCATTCATTTGACAACCTTCTTCCAAATCAAGTACATCTTGAAAAAGAAGTACAGCTGTATCAGCTACACTAGCAAGAACTAATCGTATTAAATCCCAATTGATATTACGTTCTGGATCACCTTCTTTTTGTAAATAATCAATTAAAGTTTGTCTTTCTTTTTCCTTCATATTATGACGAAACCATCCAACTAAAGAATTCAATAATATTTAAAAAACAAAAATCTTCTTTTTTTGGTAAATACTTGTTGTATTATTATCATGAGTTCCTGTATAAGCGATACAATTTGGAATATAATTATGTGGTAAATACATATTGTTAGGCCAATGTGCAAATGCAAAATGAAGAACACGCATACCAACAAGTCCAAATTTATCGCGAAGATCAAATACTTCTTGTGTTAGATGACCTAAATCTTCAGCAATGATTGGTAAATTATCTCCAAGAGCTTTAGTTGCTGCTGTTAGAAATTCATCACCTACAAAACTAAGCTAATAAAACGAAAGAAAACTAAAGAAAATAATTTACCACAAGCTTTCACCCATTCACCTTTCATTGGTGATAAAGGTTTTCCATCGGTTCCGATTGGAATAGCCCTAGTAAAAACAACAATTCATTAAATCTATCTTATATGAAGCCCATAACATGACTGTTAATATGTTCGAAAAAATAAAAATTTATATACCAATATGCTTCTAAACCACGAAAATGATCAATACGAACAACATCAACAGTTTCCAAACATTTTTTCAAACGTTTAATCCACCAGTCAAAATTTGTTTTTCGTAGATTACCTCTCCAATCATACAATCTAAATATAAACGATTATATAATCTATTCTCATTTCTTTTTCTACTTACGGATTATTCCATAATTGTCCAGTTTCACTAAAAGCATCAGGTGGAGCCCCTAAATAAAATTTGTAAATTCTACTTATCTCATAAAAATTCAAACCTTACCTGAGACTGCTTTTGGTAATGAAGTTCTTTTATCTAGTTGAAATAATGATTGATTAGCCCAAACATCTGCACTATCATAATCAACATAAACTGGCATATCTATATAGAAAATAATTCTTTCAAGCATATCAACAATATTTTGATGATTTACCACCAAGAATTGTAACATCATATTTATTTGCATATTGTTTTAATTGTTCCCATTGTCGAAAGAAAATATACTGAAGAAATATATGTTCATTAATTATATCTGCATGTTCTTGTCGTTTTTCTTCTAAAACTATTTTATCACGTTGTTTTAATTCTTTCGGCCATTTTGACCATGATTGATTTTTTTGTTCAGCTTTAATTGCCATATAAAGTGTATAATCATCAAGCCAATACTGTTCATTTTTCTTAAATGTATCAATTTCATTTTGAAATTTTTTTATAGGATTTATTTTATAATTATTATATGCTCGATTTAAAATACTATATTTCCATTTAAATACTTGTCGAAATTCAATATGTTCACCAAAATTTGGTCGACTACATTCAATATCCGTTTGAACAAGTAAACCATCATCAACTAATTTTTCTAAACTTATCAATATTGGATTACCAGCAAAAGCAGATGTACCAGAATAAGGTGATGGTTTTTCACTTGCTGTTAATGGAAGTATCTATCAGAAAGATTTATTTTAAAATTGAGAGAAAGACATTTATTGGTTACTAACTTGCCAAGTTTTTTGATTACATTCATGTAGAAAATCAACAAATTTATATGCTTCATTACCAATATCTCCAATACCATTAGGTCCCGGAAGACTACAAATATGAACAAGAATACCTGATGTACGCTCGAGTTTTACCATTATTATATATGTATATATACAAATAAACTGATCTAAAGTAAATAAAAATGTACTAGATCCATTTTAGTTTGTTTACGTTTTTCTCATGAGGTCATTTTTGCGATTAAATAAATAAATTCTATTGTTAACCTTTTCTACTTTTATCAGCACGTGTTTACAACATGTAAATTTCATGAAAATCGATCGAAATGAAAAGAAAAAGAGAATAATTCTCTTACAGTGACATAGACCGTCTGAATATTCAAATAGAATTAAATTCAGTCATGTAGAATAATTCTAAAATGATTCATCATATACTGTCCGACCTCGAAATGATATTCATCTGAATATTTTATTAGCTAAATCATTCAATAAGACTATATCCTAATATCATATATATTTATTAACAGATTTTCTTTTATTTTGTAATTCTAGTCGTCTAGAATAAAACAAAAAAATATAACGGATTTTTTTGTTAACATTGAAACAAGAAAAACAATGTAGAAATGTTATTATTTAAACCAAATTCTAGCAATCCATTGATGAACTTTAAGTAAATGCGATGCACTATCATTTTCTGAATCATTTTCATAATGTTTATCAATGAATTTTTTTCGTGTATCTAATGCCGAACCTTCAACAAATTCAATTCGAATATCTTTAACATCATCAAATTCAAATGTTTCTTTTCCTAATCGACCAATATCATTATTATTCGATATTTTACGTTTCTTTGTTAATTCTTCTTCAAGTAAACAACGTATAGATTCTTGATCATAATCATGTGTATTTAAATCTTGTTTATTACAAAATATTAATAATGGTAATCGTTGTTCACGAAAATATTCTTCATGTAAAATATTATAAAGATAATCTGAAACATATTTAATATCTTTTTCTATTGATGTACTATCAATAACAAATATAATTGCTTTAGCTGATGTTTTATATGCATATAAATCATGTTGATGTCGTCGTATATGATGTGGAATTTCAATAACATGAACTCTTTCAATTAAACGATCAATTGAAAAATCATCAAGTGTCATTACACCATGATTAGTTGACATGGAATAAAATGGGCGTTTTTCAATACCTGTTGTAAGACGATTGAATAGAAGAGTTTTACCAGAATTTTTTATACCACATAGAAGAAGACATTTACCAGAATGTCTTAATCTATGTTGACGACGTTTAATCCACCATTGAATAATTATTGTTGAAAAGACAATAAGTATTGATAGAAGAATTATACGACGAAATGTTTGAGAAGTTTGATCGATAATTCTATTATCGATATTTCCTTCAAATGAAGCAGTTTTTGGAGTATTCATATCTAAAAAAAAATAATATGGCAAACTATCGCGATGATTATTTTCTAAAGACATTTGATCGCAAGTATATTCTACCTAGTGCACAAAGTGTCGCTAGTCTACAGAAATGAGCGTGTGTTTAACCAGATGGAGTTCTCATTTTAATAAACATAGTCCATGTTTTATACACCAGACAAATCACATGCAAGAATTCCCTTATTTAAATAAACAATTCATCTATTGAGAAAAATCATTTTTATGTATATTAGTATAAAAAAGTATGAATATATTATAATGAAAATAAAATAACATTTAGCGCTAGGTGTCAGATATATAGAACTAATATCGAATCGAACAAAGATTTAACGACAGAAAAGAAAATAATAAACAAAATGGAGAATTTGTCTTTCATTATTTCATTTACATCTTTAGATTTAACATCTTTATTACTATGTCGCGTGATTTTATCGGTAGTAAAATAGCAATTATTACAAAATCTCAATGTCGATACGTTGGAACAATTATTGGTAAATATTAATTAATATACGAATATAGTTCTTTGTCTATTGCATTCTATTATTTTTTTTCAATTAGGAATTGATTCACAAACATCATCGATAGTTCTTGGCAATGTCAGATGTTTCGGTATTGAAAATCGTTCAGGACATTTAACAAATGGTCATAAACCTGGCACCATATTGCCAATCATGCAATTTGCAAATAGCGATATTGAAGATTTAAAAATTGTTGATGAAGAACAACAAACACCAGGAACTCCACAACAACCATCATTTTCAATGCCTGTTGCATCGTCACCATCATCTCAACAAGCTTCAATTCATGATGATCCTGCTATTGTATCAGCTGTTATGAGTTCATCGAATAAGGTCGATACATCAAATTCATCAATTTCGAATCGATTAATACATAATCTTCAGCATATGACATTATCTGATGAACAATCGAAATCTTTATCAAAACATGAAGGTAAAACTTGATAAATTATACAAAAATCACGAAAAAAAACAAATCAAATCTCTATCATAAAAGATTAATCATTATACTTATACTAGATGAACTCTAGAGAATTGAATGAATTCTAAACGACATTGTCATTACTTCTAATTCAGAAAATAATCGATTTGACTAATGATGAAGCAATCTTTTTTTTCTGTAAGATGCTTTGTTCTCTACATCTTTAATATTAAATTAAGATCTAAAATTTATAAGACCATCGAATAATAAATTAAATCGAATTTCTTTTTCTGTATAGAATCTCGTCATCGTTCCAATTCAGGTGAATTAGGTGCATCATGGTCTTTATTATCTCCATCAAAATGGGAACATAATAATAATAATAATAACACCAATAACTTTAAAACATCATCTCAACAACATTCAGATAACAAAAGTAAATTTTTTGATGATTTCATATCGAATAATACTAATAATACAAATCAATATCAATCGAATCGTTCCCATCAACGTTCATCGCACAACACAAATTCAACTCAAACATCACGTGAAAATGGAAATCATTATAATGGTGGACAATATGAAGATAATGGATTACCAGTTCGACAACCATTTTTTTCCAATGATCGTACTTATCCTCAAAAACAACAACAACAACAACATCAACAACTACAACCAGATCGTTACCGAAATGGTCATAATCAATATCAAAATCAACATCAACAACAATATCAACAACGTTCCTTTTATAATAATCGTCGTCCACCAATGTCCCATCAACAACGACGTGGCGGTGGTGGTGGTATGGGAAATCGTGAAACATTTCAAAACAATCCTGATGATTATGATGATGATTTTGATTTTGAAACAAGCAATCTTAAATTTAATAAATTAACAAGTGAAGATGAATTTAAACATCAAGCCGATGTACCATTACAAACTCAAGATGATATTGATTCACCAACTGACTATCCACTTTTATATGATAAAAAGAAATCTTTTTTTGATAATCTTGCTATTACAGATCCGTCAGATAATACATCAGCACCACATATGTATAACCGATCAAAAAATACCGATACATTTGGTAATGATGGTTACCAACGTCAAAATAACCGATATAATGGAAATGGATATCGAGGATCGAATAATAATAATAATAATAATAACTATTATCGACAACAACGACGTGGAAATGATGATTTTAATTACAGACAACAAAATAGCAACAATAATAATGGATATCATTATCGTTATTAATCACTCACTCTTCGTTTTTTTTGTGCAGTGATTGTTTCTCATATTCAAAGGAAAAAAAATCCCACTTTTTAAACTAATGATCTCTTTTGCTTTCCATTCCGTTTGTTTCTTTTGTATAGGTCTTCTCTCTCTCTTTTGTATATCCTCTAGTGAGAGTGTGATCTAATTTTTTTGCTGGCAATAAGAAAATTTGGTATGAATGTATACAGGTGTCTGTGTTCATGACAGATAAATTGCCGGTTGATGATTTTTTTCTCTTTTTTTTGTAGTTTCATCTTTGTTGTTTGTTTGTTCGTCCGTTACTTCTTCTCTCTTTTTCTCTAAACTAAACATGCATATGCATAGATTTTCTTTGTTTTTTTTTAACTTGAAAAGATACATTTTTCGATCTGGCAACGTAAAAGGAAAATTTGTATTCTATTTATTATTATTACTGTTGTTCTAGTGTGTCTTCTTTCTTTTTGTCGTGCACTTTTTTTTTGTGTGTATGAACACGAGAAACAAATCTTGCGCAATGTAACCTACTCAGGTGAATGATGAGAATTGGCAAGGAAAACAGAATTCATAATAAAAACAAAAATATCACACACATTATCTGATACAGGAAAAGAAATCTACTTTCTTACTCATAGCTACGGTAGAAAACATGAATGAGTCATAGCTTGATGAAATGATTGATAGACGAAGCATAAAGAACATGATATACAACGATCCCAACTAGAAAAATTAAATTTTTTAATATAAATGGTTAGTTTAGGGTACAAATATTATTTTATTCGATATACTGAATTATGGTGAGATATTTATTATGGTGTCTATTTGAAGGAAATTGTTGTATTTGTTTTTTTGTAAATACAAATAGTCGTAAGTTCAAGATATCTATTTATATAACAACCGAATGAAAACAATTGAAATGAAAACTTCTATACTATTGGATACCTCACTTTTTTATCATATTATATTCACCATTTAAGTGAAGATTTGTGGAAGACTGGCTCTTATCAAGCAACTATTTCCAATCAAAATATAACAGTAGAAGAACGGTTTATTCACATTAACAGTTTCATTTCTAGTCTCCACTACATTTGTAAGAACTCGAAAGATAATCTAGTAGCCTAAACTTATTAATGCTACTTTTCCGTAATCTGAAATATAATTGATCATGAAAACCCTTTGATTAAGTATTAGTTAGTGAATAGACATTATTTCTTTATGCACTGTATATTTCGTTTACGATTTAGTTGATTAATATCAAACTAAGATGCCGTAGTTTTTTTAGTTTAAAACGTCCTTCTCATCTTTCAAGGTTTATGGCTACAAGAATATATCAATTATCATCATCTTCATCACCTGTACTTATTGGTAATTTTATTCTTATACAGTTAGCCTTTTTTTTTGCAAACGCTTAATAATATTAGATCGTTATCAGGTGTTAATTAAAAAAGTTGAGAACGGTAAATATTATTTGATGCTATACTTTCAATTTCAATATAAATGAAAGTTTTCAATGATTTTATCTATTGAATTTGATAAAGTTTAGTTTTACTGTAATCATAAAGTCATATTCTCAACGGACAAAACTAAAATTCTATCATATACAAATGATTGTTAATGAAAAGAAAATATGTCATAACATTAATCATAGAAATAACAGCACACATACATGACTGATGAAATAGAGGTTTCAGATGGACTCTGGCATGCTAAATATTAAAAGAAATGTAATATTTTTGTTAGATTCTATAATAATGTTTCACTAAATTATCTAAAGTACTCGATCGATGTAATATCTTTATAGCCAAACAAGGTTGACTTTCGTCTATGTATATAGATAAAAAAGCGTATTTATTCATCCATGAAGGTCTGAACATATATTGATACTTTGTAGTTTAAAATGATCATATATATTCTAGCTATCATTCAAAATAGTGAAAATTCATCATGATGACATTTCTTTGCATATAATCATTTAAACTCTATTTTATATTTTAGTTTCCTCATTGAAATTTCATTGAAAAGAATTTGACATTGAAATCAAGTATCTGAGTTTGTCACTATACAACAAAAGAGCCTTGTCTATGATATATATACCTAACAATTATGACCTTGTGTGATTATAAGCATATTGTTAATGGGCTCATTTATCTTTTATGTTTCTTTCATTATATGATATCGTCGATTATTATTCCTATCAACTGATATAATGTTTGCTTCTAGTCTAATCACCGATGAAAATCACTTGGATGACTATATAAAAAGCCTTGATAATTATCCTACTAGAGAATTAAAAACAAATAATCAAAAAACATCGTCTTTAACTTCACGTGTCTCTCATAATAACCCATCATTTATCTCTGAATTCGATCCTTGGGGACATCAAAGTGTCACACACGTTGGTGAAGATACTTCATTACAATCATCAAGTCAAGTTGCTCAAGTTGATCCTATATCCCATCTACATTCTTCATCAAAAATGAGCAGAGACAATTTGGAACGTTTATATAAAAATTCAAATCTATCATCTGGAACAGATCTACAGTTTCATCCAGTTCTTTCAGGAAAACTTGCAGCACCATCAGGATGGCGTAACGAATCAGTTCCTTCATCACTGTCACCTCTTTCCGATGATACAGATAGTTATAGAAATTGTAGTGAAAAACACGAACACTATAAAACTTTAAATACATGCGATGGTCCTCCAATGATTTTTTCATCGACTGATGAAATCAATGAAGTTATTAATGAAAAACCATCATCAAAACATCTTCGTAGTATTAGTTTTAATGATTATAATGATACGTCAATTGAAAACAATCCATGTCAAGAACGAAAAACAGTTTTAACAGAAGAACAACGAACTGCAATAAATAGTATAGACAATTGTAAAATACCACCAGTTGTTGTACATAAAAAATTAGCAAATAATATTGTTAAATATAATCAGAGGATAACTGTTCGATATTTACAACCACCAACACCGCCACCACCTGGACCAATTATCATTCGTAAGAAAAAATTCTTTATTAAATATTTATTTTATATTATTTATTAGGTGAAATTCGTCAATGTCCATTACCTCCTCAATCTCCTATTACGGTATAAGAATTTAAAAAATTTTTAAATTTAAAAACTTTTTGTTTTATAATTTTAGATTCGGCAACGACCACGACCGCCTTGCACACCGCCTCCACTAGTAAATTATACAACAATCAAGTATTAAATTAAACATTTCTTATCTATTTTTTTTTCAAAGATTTTTCGAGAACCTCCTCCACCACGTCCACCTCGGCCCCCTTCAAAAATAATCGAAAAATTATTACCACCACCACCGCGTCCACCGCGCCAAGTAATTGTCGAAAAATTAGGAGCATATCCACCTAAACCTTCGGATGTTCTTGTTGAACGTTGGTTACCTTACAAACGAAACGATCAACGACGAATACTTTACGAACGAGCACCAGCACCTTACTTGTATGTATATATATATAGACATATCTTCGATTAATCTCATCTAATATTTGCAGGCCACCACGAGAACCAAATTTACTTATCATGCATGATCAACGCAATGCACGTATTAATAAAGAATTTATAAATCAAGGTGTTGTGCGAGCCGATCCTCAACATTATCTTCAACTTTATGGAGCTGAAATTAATACACCACATAACTATGGACAATATGCTTATTTAGTTGATGAAGCAACTCGTTCTTTACCCCCACCTCAACCATTACCTCCAACTGGTATTCATTATAATCCTCATAATTCTTATCCGAATCTAAATCAGCATCCTCCTCCAGCTCCTTTGATTTCAAGTATGTGGGACAGAATGAGATCTGCAGCATCTCCGTTCAATTCACCACCTTACCATCAAAATTCTCCAACGTATGGTTACTCTCCACAATATCCTCGTAATGATCATCTAAATTCATATCATCCTCCTAATAACTATGCGGCACATATGGGAGATCATAGAATAATGCCTAATGTACCATCACCATGGTCTCATAATTCTCATTCACCACCACCTCCTCCGTCTCATCTTCCATCATATAATTTTAATCCAATATCTCATTCTCCAAATACAATTCGAGTGACATCTGATCATGAACTTCATAATGTTCTTTCCAATTTAACTAATGGTCGTGTACCAACACCTTTACGTTCCTTTTAGAACTTTAAATCAAAAAAAAAGAGTAGAAAAACGAATAAAGAAGTTTATCTTCATTTTATTTACATGTTATTTTCTAGAATATAATAAGTTAAACATATAAGATTTATAAAAGAAAAGAAGAAATGTTTATTTCGGTCGTTGATTTTTAGGTTGTTTAAGCATTTGTCCTTCGCCAGAAAATGGTTGAAATGTATTCGCATTATTTTTCTCTGTTGTTCCAACTGTTTCATCATTCACAGTACGTAATGGTACACGTATAAATTGTAATGTACCATATTCATAATCATAATTAGGTATACCGCGTGTTTGTTGTAATTGAGAATTATTTAGTTGTTGTTCTTGATCTTTGGATCGATGTTTTCCATTTAAACGATTGCCTTGTCCATGAAATGGCATAAATGTTGATGGACTTTTATAACTACTTGGTATTGATGATAACGAATCACCAGGTGTTGATGCCATTGGATTAGTTGTTTTAGGTGTTGTTGCAATATTTTGTGATGATGTTGGTGTATATTTTGGTTCAACATAACCAACTGGTGGTGCAAAATCAACTTCCATATCACATTCAATAATTGTTACAGCATCGGCTGGTTTTAATTCCAAAACCAATAATTCATAACTACGATTAAGATAATTTATTGCTATAACATCACCTTTTGTTAAACAATTATAATTTCTTAGAGCTGTTTCTAAAACTGCTTTAGGATTTGATATATCAAGAAAATCTTTTGATTGAGGTTGAAAACGTACAAATGTAGCTGTAGGTAATGCAACAAATTCAACACTTATATCTTCACCTTCTTGTAATAATAAATGACGCATCATCCAATTTGGTAAATAACATGTTTTATCATCATTTGGTATAAATTCTAAAACACCACAATGTATTATACGATCAAGTTTTGTATTTTTTAACTTGAATAACATGATTCCATTCTATAAAGATATGAACAAAAAATAATGAATATGATTTGAAAATTTTGTATTACTTGTTCAGCTAATTGTTCTAATGCTGCTTGTGGAAGTAAAATTTTTCCACCATTCTCAACATTTAAACGTCCACGATCATGATCAGGTAGAAATGCAGCGGAATAACATTTATAGATAGCACGAAAAGGGCCAACATTAGCGCCAAGTTCATGCGCGCCAGGGAAATTTTGTCGAAAAAATTGACGATTGAAAAACATTATAATAATCGAAAACGATCTGAAAAAAACAAGAATTTTTCATATAAATTAGACACATAAAATAACATGTAGAAATACAAAATCTCTTCATTTATTCTATAAACTTATACTTCTTGATTAATTCGTTTGACTTTTATCATAAAGCAAACTCATGTGATATATATCGTACTTACATAACGTTTCGTAATAACATTCATATTCATCATTTTTTATAATGACACAATGGAATGCTTTGATGACGCGGCGAAATTTTTGCTAGCGGATTTTCTCATATTAAATAATATATTTCGATATAGAAACAGATTTATCTGATTATTATTCTTCCTGTATAAATAAAGAATCTATTTTAATCTATTATGCAAAGTTAATTCTATTATTAATAAACTTATAGATATATATTTTTTATGTGAGAAAACTTATTCATTAAAATACTTGATAATCGATTGTTCTCGAACTCGTGCTATAAAATAACGTTGACAATAACATAGAATAATAATGTCGCTAGTTTTCATATACATTTAACAACCAATGAAATTTCTAACAAAAAAATCCTCAGTAATGAAGTCGAAAATTCTGTCTCATCAATAAATTTAATAGAGGGTGCTAGTAACATATTTTCTAACGATAAAATATGTTGTGTCCAAGAGGAGACGATCGTGGCTGCTTACATCCGTTTCCTAGGATATAAAATTGAACAATAGAAATCAATTAATAATATCTTTCTTTTGTTTGTTTTTTTTTTTCGAGATATATACAAAATGCAAAAAAATCATCAACATCTTGTACGGCCATGTGCTGTATTTCTTGAACGTTTAAATGATACATTTATTCCATCAAAACGTTATAAAGTTGATGCTGATATTATATATCGTTCATCGAATGAACAATCTTCGAATAATAATAACAATAATAACGATGAATTATCTGTTGATGTTCTTATGTTACCAAATAATAAAGTTAAAATATCTTCATCATCAACATTTGATGATATAATAACACCTTCAAATAATCAAATAAGTACAAATAATGATATTAAACCAGTTGTACGTATACGTCCACATCAATCATCAATTGATTCAAATGATTATGAATCATCAACAGCAACAGCAACAGCAACAAATAAACGTCAAAATTCTTTACGTCGTATTGAATCATCATCATCGAATAAATATGATAGTGATTCATATTTATTTAATGGTACATTTGATTCTGATGATGAACTTGGAATGGATTTAAATGATGATGATTTAGCATCAATAAATCATGTTTTAGATTTTGATGATGATGATATATCAAATTTTGATGATGATAATCAACATTTATCAGCAACAACAAATGGTAATCATCCACCTGGTTATCATTCAACTCAATTACCTGATTTAGTTATGGGTTCAATACGATCAGAGAATGGTGTCAAATCTGAACCATCATTTCAATATAGTGATTTATTTAATCGTAAAGGACGTACATTTGTATGTGATGAACGTGGAAATCGTGTTGTTTCAGTTAAACTTGAAAAAAATTCATCAAAACGTTTAATTGATGCTATCGAACGAAATTTAGGACGATTGGTTTTAGAAGAATGTCGTCGTGGAGATTTACAAGCACATATTTTAAAAGTATTTCTATTCTTTTTTTGTTATATTTGTATACAAATATATTTATATTTAGGTTGTTTTTAAAGATGAACAAGAATTTTTTGATTTTAATCGTTCAGCTATTGTTTCAAAACATTCATTTAAACAATGTCCAGAAATGTATACAAGATTTCTTGAAAGTTTATTTGAATCACAAACTTATCCCAATGAAAATGAACATGATCCACTTGTATCTGATGTAAGTAATCGTTCTTTAGTATATACTATAATTGATTTTTTTTAACCAATGAATTTATATAAAATATTAAAGAAAACTGATGACGATTCTAAAGAAGTTTATTTTTAATAGTAGTATATACTATTATGTTTTGAGTTCTGTAATCCGTGATTCAATCTTATAGAAACTTGTAAAATCATTGTCAATAATTTCTTTTTTAGGAAGCTGATCAATTAAATCACTCATATTGTTGTAAAGTTCATGAATGTGGTGAAGCATTTACTTCAAGATCTGAAGCATTGAAACATGCGAAAAAACATGCAGGTTTGACATATAGATTTTTTTGTTATTTAAGAAATCAAATATTATTTTTATTTCTAGAACTTGATCCATTTGATTTTGTTTGTGATCATTGTGGAAAAAAATTTCTCGGTATTGCGAATATGAAACGTCATTTACGTGTTCATATGGGTAGTGAAGGCAAAGATTTTGCTTGTCCTTTATGTCATTATCGTGGTTGTACAACTACACATGTTAAACGTCATATGGCACATAAACATTTAGAAAAGTAAACATATTTTCTTAAAAAAAATAAGAGTCATATGAAATTTTGCTTATTTATTTAGATCTATTCCATGTCCTTATTGTTCATTTATGGCTGCAACAAATGCAGATCTGAAAATTCATATGGCTCGAAGACATTGGGATATTGAAGGACTTGATATTTTGAATAATTTACCCAAAACATATAAAAAAGAATGGAAATGTAATAAATGCGATACAGTTTTTCATGATTATTCAGTATGAAAGTTTTTTTAAAAAGATAATCAAATATCAATTCTTATTTTGATTCTATAGGATTTTCAAAATCACATTTATAGTCATTCAAGTCAAACAAATAAATTTCAATGCAATTTATGCCCATATAATTGCAAAAGTTTTTCAAAATTAAAGGTAAAATTTCATATGACGTCTTTTTATTAATTATAGTTTGTATATCATTTCTAGCGTCATATGCTTTATCATCAAGGTCAACGTAATTATGAATGTCCAAAATGTAATAATAAATTTTATCAAATGGAACATCTAAAACGTCATTTAACATCAATACATAAACTAAATATACCACAAATTGGTCGAGGAAATCGTTTATTTAGTTCGGATATATTAAAACGGGTAAGAATAGACACGAATTCAATTATTTCTTTCTTGAAATAAATTATAGAATTAATATCCGTTTTTGAAAAAAAAGGCGTTCGAGAAGAATACTTATAACCTATTAATCAGGGAGGTTTGTTAGATTATGATCTCAGGTTCTCTTGAACCTAATTTTAATATCCTAATAATCTGTATTTATTCTCTAATTATTTTTCGACCCCTAGGAGACCCCTCAAGTATCGAAAAACACCTTTGTCGATCGGATAATAGCAAAGTTCCAGAAGCATCAATAACCGGTTTTTGAAAATAAGATGAGATCTATTGATTTATAAATAAATGTGGGGGGACGTCGATGATAAAAGGTGTTTTTCGATACCTGAAGGGCACCCTATAGGTGGAAAACATGAGTTAAGGAAAAATGAAGAATAATTATGAAATGAGTACAAATTATTAGAATATTAAAAATAAGGCCAAAGGATGCTGAGATCATAACCTACGCACCTGCATGATTAAAAGGGTAAAAGAATGTTTCTGATGTCACAGATCTATTTTTGTATAATCTCACATGCCCTCGTATCCTCTATCCAACGGTGAAAACCGCAGGCCTCTATCATTTTCCGTGTGAAAGTTATAAGTATTCTTTTGTAAACAAAATTTACAGCTTTTTACAATTAAACTTATTTTTGTATTCTTAGCATTCGGATATGCCAAATATGCCTCCATCACATGGTACTGTTCCTCAATGTTATAAAGTCATTTCGAAATGTGTTTTTACATGTCAAAAATGTCCATTTTCAACAACAAAACTTTATCATCTTAATGAACATGTTAAAAGTGAACATTTACAATTAGATGATTCAGCGCATGTTTGTACTTTCTGTTCATATATAACTGATAAAAAAACGAATCTTAAAGTAACAAGAAAAAATGAAAAATAATATAAATTCTATATGATATCTTTTAGCGTCATTTACATCATAATCATGCTGGTCAATCAAATACACCTGTACTTTTATCGAATGATGCTCTTTTATCAAATCCAAATACAAAGTATATTAATAAAAAAAAATTTTTTTCTATCGTTTACTTTATTTTTCGTTAGATTTCAATGTGGACTTTGTCGTCGATATCAAAGCAATGTTGATGAATTTATAAAACATATTACCGAAAAACATCGTATGGATGTATGTATATATATCATGAAAAAACCAAAATAATAATTAATTGAATTTTTTCTTTAGGTTGTTATCTTAGATTCAGCTAATAATGGAAATATTCATCAACAAATAAAATCTCGTGGTCGTGCTGAGGTACGTTAAAATAATTTGATTTATTTTTCATATTTTTCTTTCGTTTTTTTTCTTAGTTAATTTGTGCAAGTAATAATTCTACCCCATTTCGTTTTGATGAATATGGTGGTCTTGTTACTGTTATGAAAAATCCAAATGAAACATCAATAAATAATTCAAATAATCCACCAACTAATTCAACAACAGATTTTCTTCTTCAGCAATAAAGAAAAACATTTTCTTTTTTTCTCTTCTTCGTTCTTGATTTCAAATTTGTGTATACGCAACTGTTACTTTTAACAGTCAGTCAATCCTTATAGGATTGTACTTTACATCTTTAAAGAAAAAAGACAACAACAACAACAACATACATTCACGCCCACTCACAGAATTCATTTATGTGTATTATTCTGTTTTTTTTTTGTTTGTTTGTTTAAGAAAAACGAGTCAAAAGAAAAAAATGATTATATTCTTTTCTTTATTAGCATATCAATAAAAAAGAAATCGATGTTTACAAAAACAATTATTTTTTGAGACTACATAAGAACTACTGTTGAAATGATAAAAACTCTTATCAAATAATAAATAATTCTAAAACTTTAATATCCTCAATATAATGAATGCTTGTAAAATACAAAGAATATCTAAAAGAACTAATATAAAAGTCTTATTAAGTACGTCATTATTGTCTAAAAGGAAATGAATTTCGTGGAATTTAATGAACTCATTGACACAAACCAGACTATAGATTTCTGCATATTTTCATCAGCTACAGACATGATATTGACATTTGAAAAGGACAGAATCAATTTCATTTCCACTGTCTTTGTTTATTTCCTTCGATTCATATTTGTTATCTTTTACGGAATAAAAAAAAACTATCTTTCTTTTCTCTTTCAATTATTATATAAGTCATAGGAATCTAAAGGTTACACAAACAATGTAACTCCAAATTTAGAAAAGAATAAATTAAAAGTATGTTAAAAATTTGTTCTAGAAGTATAATTGTAACATTTACATAATCAAAGCATAAGCTATATATATTTTCTAAAAAAAATTGCGTTGTTTGATGTTAGCACATGATTACTGAAAGTTTTTGATTTAAAATAATCTCGAATTTAAGAGGCAGAACAACAAGAGTGTAACGTCACGTATAATTCTAAAAATTACTTTTTTTCTTTTTAATTTTTTTTCTTCTATACTTAGTTTATCGCATTAAGATCTTAAAGTGCACTACATCTTCATTTTGTTCTAGAATCAGGATAGAAAATTAGAAATGTTAAGCTGACAAAACAAAACCAGAATTGTTAATAGATACATATATACTCAATTTTCTAATGAAGTATAGAGAAACCGGAAAAAACCTGTGGATCATCTATCCTGTTTTCTGTAAGTTTCCTGATGTAGAAAAAAAAGATTCTTTTATTTTACTTAAAAATGCTAAGCTTACATACAACACCTATAATTTCATATTCTTATTATAAGATCGATTTGTAATGTCTTATATTTAACTTGGAAAATTCATTGACTAATATTCGAAGTAAGTTAATTTGTTTACTTCCTAATACAAACAGGAAAAACATGACGTATTATTATTACGAGATATGTGTATGGGTGAATGGAAATTGTCATCAAGACATTATCGTTAATAATTATGGAAGAAGATTAACTTCACTTCATATTTTTTCTATGTTGATGACGATTGTTACATAAAATAATGATGACATTTATTAGACTGTGAAGACAACATATACTGTTTTATTATATTTTTTTTTTCAAAAACTACAAAATAACAGACGATCATCTCGTTTCTTTCTTTCTATTTTTATGTGGGATTTTTTATTGTATATAAATATAATTCAGACCAACATTGATAGTAGGAAAGAAAAAGAAAAAGTGGATCGGATAGCGCATGTTTTTCATCCTAGTACATCGGCATGTCTAGATCTTGTCTTTCGTTGACGATAAAATACGAGGGATAAGTAATCGAAAGTGCCATCGGAAATGTTCATGATTTATTGCGAATATAAATATGACAGTTATGACAACTGATATTTTTTTATTTTGTATTACTGAAAATTATTTTTTTTTCTTCAGATATTTTCTTTTAGTTCAACTAACCTAGATTCATGTCGGCAGATCTATTTACTTTATCATGGTTTGCTGTTTTTGCATTGATTATATTAATTGCTTTTGTCGCTAATATAATCATTATTATAGCAATACTTCGAGATAAATCCATGCATACATCAACTTATTTTTATATAATTAATGTTAATATCGCTGATATTCTTCTTATACTTAGTTGTTTACCAGAACGTTTAACTGTAGCATTTGGTTCTGGTGATGGATTTTATTTAGGAATGTTTACATGTAAGTTTCTCTTTTTTTTAATATGAAAAAAAACAATGAGTTGTTAAAAATGTGGGTCATGATATTTATGTTTACAAGGATTAAATTTTTTTTTTGAGTTAAAATTAGATTATCAATTATCGAATTATTTTTATTGCTAATAATCTATATGAAATATTGAATACAATTAATTAGTATAAATTCGAAATAAAATAGTATATATTTGTTAAAATTTGCTTTTAGCTATAAGTACCCATAATAATAGCATTTCTATCCAAGCATGTTAGACAATTAATAAAGAAATATTTCGTGTAAAATACAAAAGAATATATATATATATATAAGGAAATGAGAAATGTATTGCTATTAACAAAATGCTTCTAGCGTATTAAAGTATTTTTTTTATTATTATCTATAGTTAATTCTAGCAAGATAATAACGTGCTTGGAGTACTTTTCTCCTCATATATATATATATAAATAATGTTGAAAAAATAAATTAGTATGTATTGATTTAATATATAATATAAGAATATTTAATTTACAATGTTCAATGTGACCTCAGGTGCAAGTACATGACTATTGTTCTAGCCTTTTGTATGCTATCAAATTTTTGTCAGGCATTTTTCTGTCACTCATCAAAAGAAGTTAAGTTCGTGACATATTCAATATATCATTCGAATTTATTCATTTCTAATTAGAAGTCAAGTTTACTTGAAAAAATAATTGATAACATTGATATGTGTTATTCAAATGTCATTTTCTCTTTCTTTATTCTATTTGGCATAGTCTACTCAAAGAAAACTATCAGAAAGATATGTCGTTTGAGAGCACAGTGAAAAGTGTGCAGACATTTTAAGCAATTGAATTCATTTTTTTGAAATTTGTTAAGACATTTTTGAGTTCTTGAATTTGTTATCTCCTTTTTTTCTATACTCAAAGTTTAAATATTTATAAAAAAAGAACTCTTTGACATTTTACACTCTTCTGCTTTTTTTAAACAAACAAAAATTGAAATATTATGCATGAAAAGAGATAGAATTTTTAGATTACTAAATGAGCTATTCTTGATACTTATTCAATGAATATGTTCCTTGATCCTCATAGTATAGATCTGGAAATTCTCTCCATCACAGTTCTAATATATATATGCCTAGATCTAAATCGATTTTTGAAGAACGACACAGGTTGTTTTAAATATTCATATACTTTTTAGGATATCTATGATATAATCAGGTTTCATCATCATTTTTCATAAGAATAGATCACACAATATATTATTATTCAATAATTCATGATAACTAAATATAAATTATTATATCGCGTGATGTTTCATTTCAATTTAGAAGATTGAAAATAGAATTATTATACATCTATAAGCATACCGAAGACATAAGGTCAATAGTAATACGATTTTTCATCATATTTGTATATATAATTAGTAAAGTGCATAAAACTTAATGTCAAGAAACTTTTGCTATTATTTATTAATGTCGTCAGATTGATTCTAAAAGTGCATTTTTACAAAATGAAATGTATAGAATTTAATCAAAATAACATTTTATTAATAATGTTTTCTTTCATCAGAATTAGAAATATTAACTAATGTTAATATAAATGAGAAAGGTGATACTGACGACAGCTGATATGTCAAGTAGCATATTCCAAGGATTAACTCAATGGTATAGATAAATATAGAACATGTTACAAAGAAATTCATGTATTAAATTTAGAATCCAGTTTCGGATTCCAATGAGTCAATTTATTCATAGAGTCTTTTTTCAATTACTAGAATAGTAACTATTTGTTTTAAACAACAAGTAATAGATCACTTGACATGTCGTTATTCATCATTTTAATTTTTTTGCTAGTTTCCTTGAAGTATTTTTATAATCAATAAATTTTCTTTCTATAGGTTATTTAATTCCATTTTGTCAACAAGTCGCCATGCATGCAGCACTCGCATTTTTACTTGTTTTAACTATACATCGTTGTTATCCAGCTGGTGTTCCACGTTTTTTACAAGGTGATGTTATTCGTCAACAAATACGTAATTATCCGCAAACATTATGTATTCTATGGATATTTGCCATATTAGTCAATTTACCTTTATTTGCAATAACTACATACGAACATCTACCTTCAAATACAACAATTACAACACTAAATGGTACAAATATAACATATTTAATACATGAACCTTCTTGTCATACAGCAGCAGAAGAAATTTGGTCACGTACATATGTAATATTCTTACTTGTTTCGACTTATTTCATAACAGGTATTTTTCTTATTGTTATTTATGGACAAGCTATACGTATAATTCTTGCATCAAAAAAATATTCAACAAAACCTATTCAATCAACACAAAATCATACGAATCATTATCGATTTCTTTCACCCAATCTTATTCAAGAAAAACAATATCAACCAAAATCAATCGCACAAACCCATATGAAAATTCCAGTACCACATTCAACTACAACATCCACGTCAACACCATCAACAGCTAGAACAAATCGACGTTATCTAAAAGGTTTGCAAAATACATCCACAAGATCTGTAATTATATCTTCATCCGTAGGACAAAATGATTTAGATAAAAATTCAACTAATTCTCATTCAACACAACATCTTCAAGTTATTATTATGCTTTTTATCGTTATTTTATTGTATATACTTCTTCTTTTACCATATCGTTTATTAAATTTATTATATATCGTACATAATGAAATATTTCAAAAACAATTTATGAATCAATTATTATTTGAGTCGTTATTAAATACTGTTCGATTACTTGTTTTTCTTAATTGTGCATTACAACCAATAACATATTTAATTATATCATCACGTTTACGTCAAACAGTTGTTAAACTTCTTCGTTCATGGTATACATGTAATTGTCATTGTCAATGTTCAGCATCTTCGGATACAGGACGACATTATAAAACTGATACTCGTGCTATTCAAGCGTATCTATTACAAAAACATCAAAATCGAAGTCCTTATCAACTTCAACAACAACATAATTTTTATCGTGAAGTTCGTCCATTACAAACATCATTAAATAATATACATTTAATGAGTTATCATGGTTCACCAATAAATCATCTCCCAATATCACGATCAATATCACCAGTAGCATTCTCACATTTAACTCTATCGCGATCTCCATCACCAGTACCACTTACACATTTTAAAAATCGAACTCGATGTATTGTTTCATTTAATAATGAACATAGAAAATAAAAAATTGATTTGATTTTTAATTTATATCAAGTTTGTTTATTTAAAAAAGAAGAAAAAAAGAGAAAAACAAACGGAAATGAAAAATAAAGTCTACAACATAAGATCATTGACTGGATGATGGACGACCGACTTGATCTGCTAATCGTTTTCGAAGCATATCTTGTATGGGAATAAATTGACGATGATATTGTGGACAACGTTCAGATAAACCATGTAAAATTGCTTCAAAATATCTTAAACGATTTACTTGATTTTCACGTGCTGCATTAACTGCATCTGGTGTTTGATGAACTTTAACATATTTTCCTTCTTTTATTTGTTCATAATATTTCGCTCGTAATTGTTTTTCAGTTAATGTGATAAACATCTAAACGAAAAATAAATCAAATGAAAGAAAAAATCAAATCACATACCATATTTTTTCGTGAATTTAATTCTGCAATACGTTCATCAAGTTTAGTATTGTCATGTGTCGCTTGATCTCTTTGTTGTTCAAGTTCAGTCATACGTGTCACATGTTCTTGTTGAATACTCTTATATTCATCAAGTTGCTGTTCAAGTTCAGCAGCGTGCTAAAACAGAGAGAATGTTTAAGTAATGATCGATAGATCTGAAAAAAACTTACTTGAGTTGAATCTCGTATTTTTCTTTGTAAATCGGTAATTTTCTTTTGTACAGTACTTTGCATAGTAGCTTTATTTTGTGGTATTTTTTGTTGAAATTCTCCTCGAGTAACAATTGTATCTCGTCGTAATACACTTGTTTCCATATCTCGAATTAATTTTTCTTGTTGTCGTAATAATTGATCATAACGAACCTTAAGAATTTAAATTAAAAAGTAAACAAAAATCGTTTTTTTTGTATCGTCTTACTTGCATACGATGAATTTCAGATTTCATTGCTCGTATTTCACCTTGACCAGTTTCAGAATCAACAGCTGATTTCATTTCTTTTGCTAACTGAATTTTTCGTTCCCAAAACATAATTTGTTTTCTATTAGAAAAAGATTTAATATATTTTTTTTTAATTCAACAAACATACTCTGCTTCGACAAGATTTGCTAAAAGATTTTCTCTTTCCTTTCGTATTTCAACTAATTCTTGTTCCATATGTATAGCATCTTTTTCAGCTATCTATTCATTTCCAAAAAAACAAAATATTATCACAATTCCAAAATAATAAATACAAACTTTTAATTCTCGAACAAAATCACCTTCTGATAAAAGATTGTTTCGTTCTAATGAATGTTTATTTGTTGCTTCTTTATAAATCAATTTATTTAAACGTTCTAAATCAAGTGTTAATAATTCCATTTGTCGTTTTAAATGCGTACAATCAGTTTCCATATTTTTAATTGTATCTTTATGAAAAAAATAAAATAAATACTTTTGTTTATTAAACAAGTAACGCTCATCCGAGAACTCGCTTAGCTCTTTCTCGCAGAAATGTATCCTCTTCACATTTACTAGAAAAATAATTCAAACCGTGAAAAATCGATCTTCGATGTTTTTTTGACCTTTCACCTGCCCCTCACCATGGTCACCTAACAGACCTCAGATTTCGAAATACTACTAGAAATATCTTTTTCGAAAAATCGGTTTCCGATGTTTTTTTGACCCTGCGGACACACAAGCAAGCAAACAATTTATGATTACTGGACTCTTCTGTACGAGAAAGAGAATACAAAAACATATATTTACTTTCAGTTCGAATTTTTCTTGATGTTAAAATTGTATATTTTAATTTCATTGCATCGGTATCTTTTTCTAATACATCTTTTTCATTTGTTAAACGTACTAATTCATTTTGTCCTCGTAACCATGTTTGTTCAAGTTCGAAAATTTCTTTTGCTGTTTGTGCTATAGATTTTTGTAAATTTAATACTTCAATTTCTAATGGTCCTAATTCAACACCACCAGCTTTTTCTTTTAAATGTTCTAATTTTTTATTCATTAAATCAATTTGATTTTGTTTTTGTTCAATTAATAAAACACGTCGTTTGATTTCTTGTTCACTACGTGTTATAACTTGATTTTTATCCATTATTTGATCATTATATTCTTTTGATTGTGCTTCAAGTTGTTGAATATTTGTTAATAAATATGTTTTTTCTAATCGTGCACGTGAGATATCATTTTCAAGTTTAGATAAATTACGTTCCTAAAAGAAATAATAAATATTTTCACCGGGAATAAAATGATATATACATACAATTTCACGTGTAGATTCTTTAAGTTTAAAACGTAATTTCGAACTATATTCAGCAGCTTTTTCAGCAGTTAATTGTTCTTGAACACGTTGATAAATTTCATCTTCTAATTTGTTACATTCTTGACTTTCTTTTTCAATATCACGTCGTAAGATATCTAAATCATGTTGTTTTTCAGCTTTTTCCTATCGAAAAAAAAACAAAAGAAATTTTATGAAGAATAAAGTAGATAGTTTTTTTTCAATTACATTATTAACACGATTAAGCATATGTTGAGTTTCTTCGAGTGCTTTTGTATACGTTGACATTTCTTGTTTAGTTGTTTCGGATTTTTCACTGTTTATTTCGAGTAGTTTTTCTAGATTTTGTATTTCATATTTTGTTCGATTTAAAACTAATGTAAGTTTTTCATTTAGTTCTTGTTCTTTTACAATTGAACGTTTGTATGATTCCATTTCAGTATGCATTGTATCGATACGTTGATTTTGTAATCTAATTAGATGAAATAAAATATTAATAGATTTCGAAGGAATTCAACAAATGCTGATTGTATTTTCTATGGTAATGTATATGTTTCAATTACTATAAATACTACTTTCTGAAGCTGTTAGTGAAATCCCTAGGGAATTAATGTATGTAACATGATTGAGCTGGTCGTACTCTGGCTATGTCAATCACAGTTTGAGGGCGTTGAGAAGAGTGCCTACGCTTCTATTCTTATAAACTTTAATACTCGTTTTATTATTTTTGGATTCGTTAGGTTCTGTTTATTAGTGGAAAAGGTTGAAATCCCTTGGGAATCATTTCTCGCCTGACACAGATTAGCTATCATCTGTTGATTATTTTATCTTGAAATTTGGTATTATTTAGTCTATTAAAGTATCTTTCAAATCTTTGGGGCCCTACATCAGAAAGACTAAATGATATAATCTTAGCAAAGATTTATAGACTGAATTCATTTTCAAATACGATTATTTAGTTTTCAATGTAAACAAATCTATGAGATAAAAAAAACTCTATATTGATTTCTTACATTATGAGAATCACCAAATAATAGCTAAAGTCCTATTCTTTTGACCTATCATACACCCAAAAGATCCTAAATATCTCGTAAAACCCTCGCGTCTGAAGCCCACTTCCAAAAAAAGTAGCAATTCATCGCTCTGAAATACTATTTATAAAATTTCGTGTAATATTGGTAAATAAATTTTATTAATTCTAACCTGACAGCTTCATTCATTGTTGCTTGTGCTTCATCACGTCTTCGAATACCAATTAAACAACTGTTCCAGTTTTGCATTAATTGTTTTTTTTCTAATTCTAATGTTTCTGATTCAAGTTTTGCTTCAGTTAATGTTTGAGTGATATGTTTTCGTTCCTCCACTAAAGAAAAACAATTTTAAAAATAAATCATACTAAATAAAAACTTACTTTGAACTTTTAATTGATATTCATTTTGTGCTATTTCTTCTCGAAACATATCAACTCGTTGTACAAGACGATTAACAAAAAAATCCTATAATACAAAGCTTAATTTTATTTTTATAAAACTATTTTTGAACATACTTGTTCTTTTTTATCTGCTTCAAGTTTTGTTACTTCAGAATCGACTTTTTCTGTTGCTCGACGCATTGTTGATAGATCATTACGTACATCATTTTTAGCTTTACTTAAATAGTACAATCGACGTTGAAGAACATCACGTTCTTTTTGAGTATCCAAAGCTACAAAAAAAAATGAATGAAATTTTTATTTGATAAATTATTTCGATGAATACTTTGTTTCATTTGTGTATCGAGATCATCTTTTTTCTTTAAATGTCTATCTTTTGTTTGTGTCAATTCTTGATCAATACGTTGTCGATCTTGGTTTACTTCGCCATAATGATCATGTTCTTTTTCGAGTAACATTTGATGACGTGCTAGTTCTTGTTGAAGATTATACAAAGTTACACCGAGTCCCTCACGTTTATCACGCATTTGCTATAGAAAAAAAAGTTATTATGGTATTTTTGAATGTTACAAAAAGATGTTTGGTTTTTTTTTACTTTTAGTTCATTGTCAGCTTCTCGTAATTGGATATTAAATTTTTCCTCTTGTTTAACGAGATACTCTTTAAGCGCTTTTTGATATGGAGCCATAAGTGGATGGTTTGGATCCAATACAACCACCGATTGTTCATCTTCCGTGAGGCCATCTTCTGCTCGAAAAGAAGAAACATACACATTATTAAAAAAGTTTTGTTTTTGATTTCGAAATATTTTATCTCTTATATGCCTTCATCATAATATAAACTTGGAAAGTATTCTCATTGGCATAAGTATGATTATAAGATAGTACGATGTACTATCGTTTCAATAGACGATCAAATTACTTGATTGATCATAGTGCCTAGAAATTCTCGAAATATAATATGACACTATGTGTTCTAATTCCTTATGTCGCTAAAATAACAGTGTGATTTTCAAAAAAACACGAGACATAATTTGAGATGTTGCTTGCATATATCTCGTCAGTTACTTTAATTCTAAGGTCAAATACATTTCTGTTGCTCTTTAAGAACATAAATATTGATATCTCTAGTGTAGATCTCATTTCTAATATTAGTTTATTATGATTAATGAAGAAAAACTTTGTCAGTTGTTGACTAATGATGGCAAGGACATATCATATTTATCTTTTCTTAAAACTGTTTTCTTTTTCTATTATTGTTTACAATCAATAGGATCAAAATTTAAATAAGCAAAATAACGTACGGAACTCCTGTACACCATCCATTGGACTATTTGGATAATCATTTCCGTTTAACAATGCATTATTTGTTTCACTTGTTGGATCTAAATAATACTTAATTTATTATAAATCTAATCATTCCAACAAAAAATTAAACCTTGGTCGCCAGTGATAACATCATTATCATCATCATCATAGTGTGACATATTTACGGCAAAACTTCAGATACACGAATGCTTAATAAGCATTTGATGTTTCCCCTGATCGACATATTATTAACAACATTGCCTAGGCAACCAAATTTTCATTTTTTCATGTCAAAGAAAATTTTTATTTAAAAAAATTAAAATTATTATTTAAAATTTTTCTTAATATCAAATAAAATATATCTTTCAATAAGAAAAATTTTTTTCGTCTAATTTTTTTATTTATAGATGTCACTTTTACATATTTGTGCAGTATGTATCGCCATTGTTTCCCGTTTGTGAACCTTCACTTATTTGTACATCTCCTATGTCTGCTTAAAAGAACATAAATTCAACAAATCATCTGTTTTCATTTCTTAGATTTTAGATTCCTTTTTCATTAATTCTTAGAATAAATCCCATACATATTTCTAATCAAGAAAATCGATTAAATAAAAAAAATCATTTAAATAATCTTTTCATTTATTGTATGATCTTAATATTATTAACATGTCCGTACCAAATAAATCTCTTGATAAAAATAAACGATATGCTGGCGTTAAAGCTAATGATTTTGTAAACAAAACTCGAGCAAGTGAAGCAAATCGATCAGCTGGTATGTTCATATGAAATTAATTCTTGTCAAATTAATTCTCTTTTTTTTCTGTGTTTTTAGTTCGTCCTCAAGGATGGGCAAATTTAGGAAAAATTAATAATCGACGAATTCCACCACCAGCTAATTTACCTAGTTTAAAAAGTGAAACAGGTGTTAATTCACCTGCATTTGATCCAACAATAACAACAAATCATGGTTGGACATCGAATGAAAATTCAACATCAATGAATTCTGTACCTAATCCAACACAACAACAACTTGATTCTTTACCAGTTAATTCACCAACTCCACCACCACCACCACTTCTACAATCATCATCATCAATAGATGCTGATAAAACTCGTAATCCACCAACATGGAGTACAATAACAGCTGGTACAAATCCAACTTCTACTGGACCAGCACCTAGTCTACTTGGATTAAATGATTTTCCTCGTTTAGCAACAACAACAACAACAGAAGATCGTAAATCTCAATCTGAATCATTAACAAATATTTCAAATCCAACTTTTCGACCAACGAATTTAGCTATATGGAAAGAAGGTGGTGGTAGTCGCGTTCAATCTTTATCAAATGATATTCCACAAAATATGCCAAATAATCCTGGTGCTAATTTCTACCAACAACAGATGCCAAATGTGAGAATGTATCCACCACAAATGGTAAACGAAAAATTTTTCTTTCTATATGTTACATTTGTCTTTTTTTTATTATTAATATTTTAGTGGGCATATGCTCCATACCCTCAAATGCCATTAACAATGCATCAACAGCAACAACAACAACCGCCACCACGTGTTCATACTTTAAATGATTATAAAAGTCCAACAATATTACGAAATAAAGATATTGATGATTTGTCAAAAATAACCGATAATACATGGGCAAATGCTGCATCTCAAGAAGTAAACTATGAAGAAAAGATTCGTTTTAGTGACGACGAAGATGAACATAATCGTCGTGAAATAATCGATTCAAATAATAAACCACGTCGAATGAAACCACAAATATTACAACATCATCATCCACGTTTAATTCAAGATGATGAACATCTTAAACAAATGCAAGATAATAAAAATTCTGAATTAATCAATGCATTAACTATTGCAAAAAAACGACGTGAAGAACAAGAACGTCATCTTAGAAATGAACATCTAATATCAAATATTGATGAACAAAAACAAATACCAGGATATCAAACACGTCCATTATTAACTTCAAATGAACAAGAAAATTATAATTCATCATCACCATTATGGCAAGCAAATAGAGATACAACTCGTACACGTCATGATACAGCTAATAGTCAATCATCATTTACTATGAAAAGTTGGTCCGATCAAATGGATTCTTTTAATTATACATCTTTACATGAAAAGTAAATAGAATTATTATCTTTTTTTCCTGCTATCTAGATGTATAAAACAATAGACTATCTACAACCCATTATTTTATTGAACAATTTTTTTTGTAAAATGATATTTAATAAATATTATCGTTTAGATCTGGTGGTAGTCATCTAGAAAATGAAGAACCATCGACAGCAAATAAATATAGCCGGTCTCAAAGTGGATCAAGTTCACAATCTCAACATGACAAAGAGCCAGTTATAAGAAAAACTAAAAAGCTACTACTACTACCTTCGAAAAAACAACAACAAAAAACAAATTCAATTCAAACGAAAAATTCTTTGAAAAAATCTAATAAAGTTGATAGTACAGATTATTATGATAATTCAAATGATCAATGGGATAATTGGGACGAATCAACAGATAATCATCAACGACATCGTCAACAATTACATTCAGATGATCTTTCAACACAAAAACCAAATCGTTATAATAAACAACCAACATCAACAATAAAAACACGTAATAATGATCGACAACAAACAAGTAAATTTCAATATTTATTTTAAATATTTATTCATTTTTTTTTCTTTTAATTCAATTAGATTCACGTTTTAAACAAAATTCATCGACATTAAATAAAACTAACGATAATAAAACTACTACTAATAATAATAAAACTCAACCAGTATGGCGTCCATTATCTCCAAATCGACCAACAGAAGCTATTGATCCAACACCACAAGAATCAATGATATATAAATCTCAACAACAACAACAACAACAAATAAATGATCCTCGTCGTCAGTCAGAATCTTATCAACAACGAACAAATATTAATGATCATAAACAACAACGATATCAAACAATAAATACAGCATCTATACCACCATTAATGAGCGTACGGTCTGATGTAAATACAACTGCGAAATTATATAAAACTGCTAATCATACAAATTCATCACATTATGAGGATGAAAATATGTATTATGATTCAAATTTACAAACCCATCAACGTTATAATCATTCGAATGCACATAATCGAGGATATACAACATTAGGTTCATATGGACGTTATAGACGAAGTGGAACAGTTCGTCATCAACAACAATATACAACTTATAATACAAATAATACATCTGGTATATCATCGGCACCTACAACAAATAATGGAGCACGACAGAAAAAGAATCCTACAAATCGTACAAATACAAATAATAAAAAAACGAGCCAATCATCTGAACAAACAAAACCAACGGTTATTGATGAAACGAATTCTTCATTAGAGAAACTGAAGATAACTAATGAAGAAGTACCAATGAAGAAACCCAATGAAACAGCTGTATTAACTCCAACTACAGAAGTGTTGCCAAAAGAAATTGGTAAATCAAATGATTCCGGTAATGGTATATCAGATGAAAAAGTTGCAATAAAAAATGATAATGAAACTAATGTTGTACAAACAGAAAATGAATCAACAAAAATAAATAAAAAAACAACTACAACAACACCGTCATCAGCGAATACTAAACGACGTACAAATAAAGATCAACAAAATTATCATCAAGATCAACGATATCAAAATCAACAAGCTCCACGTCATAGAAATAATTATGCACGAGCAATGCAAGGTAATCTTTCATGTTTCTAAATAACTATTCATCAGGAAGTCTTTGACATGAAACAGATAATCCTTCTTTTGAAAATAGAAATATAATAGAGAAACTTGTTTTATCAGATCTCAATAATCATCTTAAATATTTTGTTTAGAATATGATACAATGCAAATGTCTGGTACACATAATTATTATGGTTCAGTTCGTCGAGCAGCACATGGTGGTGGTGGTCGTAATTCACATACACATGATCTATCCAGTAATTATTATTATGAACATCCTCAACAGTAAGTTTTTATTTTCGTATTTCTCCGTATATCTTATTCTTATTTATATATAAAGACATTATAATAATCGTTACAATTATTCGAATGAACATTATCAACAACAACGTCCAACAAATAATAAAAATTCTAAACGTGGTGGTGCATCAATTGTACAAAATCAACAACAAAGACAACCCATAGTCAATGGAAGTGGTGGTGGTGGTGGTAGTAATAATAATAATAATAATAATTTTCGTCATCATTCAATAAGTGATAATGATCAAAAAGAAGGTGAAGAATGGGAAACAGCATCTGAATCAAGTACAAATATGCGTAATGGTCATTATGATAATAATGGAATAAATAATCAACAAACAAATGAAACAAAATCAGTTAATCGTGGTCGAACACCACCTAAGAAAAGTTTTTCCAGTCAAAGGTATATTTAAATCTTTAAATTACAACAACAAAAAAAAGTTATACTATTCATTTTTAGACCAAATGCGCGTCAGATTTTCAAATATACGAATGCATGAGAGAGGCAATGGATGAATCTTTCTCGTTTCTTTCTTTTTTTTTTGTATTTCGTCTCTATTTTTTATCTTTCTCTCTCTTTATCTGTCAACACGCATACATATTATAATAAATATGTATGCTATATTCTTGTTCTTTCAAACTAGATAGAAAAGTAGACTAAATACATATATACATAAATATATTTATTCATGTTTTTTTTCTCTGTTTGAAAACGAATCTCAAAAAAAAAAGGCTTTTAAAGCAAATTTTGAAAAAGAAAAAATATGTTCTCTCTTTTTCTTTTGTTTTGTTATTTCTTTCTCTTTTTTTTTACATAATATACTGGTCATATTACTTTTTTTTTCTCGAATGATGATGAATATCAATATTGTGTGTGTTGTTGTTGTTGTTTGTTTGTTTGCTTCTTTCTCATTTTCTCTCTCTTTCTTTTTTTTGTTTGTTAATCGAACAAAATATGTTTAATCATCTGTACGTTTCTTTTTTTTTAGCCGTTGATGTGACATAATTGATCAAAAATATAAAAAATCTCTCTTTTTCTTGCTATTTATTATTTGTAAATAGAACGCAACAAAAAAAAATAACATAAACATAATGTGCAAAACATTTTAATGAGTGATTTTTTGTTTTTTTTTGTCTCTCTCTCTCTCTCTCTATCTCTATTTCCCTCCGTTTATATTTAATCCTAATGCGTTTATTTCCCGCCCAATACATTGCAGGTTCTTTTTGTTTGTTTTTCTCTTGTCATGAAAAATAAAATGCAATCAGAACATTGTGTTTATTTCATATCTATTATTAAAATTAGTAGGTTCTTGAAATATGCTATTGTCAAGATAAATCATAGGCCTGATCATAATAATTATTTTGATGAATAGTTTTCGAAAAATAAGAACTATACAATTAATGTAAATATTGATTTGTTTGGTATTCAATTTTCATGCGACCTTGTATATAAAGCATGCTGCTGTAAACATAAATAATAAGTGAATCAGTATGTTAACTTATTCAAAATCAACTACTCGTATTAATAGGGTTTACTTTTTGCATATCACTGATAAAGTATTAATTTGTCCTTTATACTACATCTACTATTTCTATTCAGTGGTGAATTGAAACTATCTTTTACTTCCATATGGTTTGTTATTATGTCTTTGAATATGATAGAAAGATAAGAATGATAGGCATTATAAAACATCGGAGTTGAATAAGACTACATCGAAGCGGAAACGATAGAAGTCTGAGAAAATTATATAGATAATTTACATTAGTCTAAAAATATCCTTGGTTATTATGAATCACACAAAGTACTTATTATCTCCGATGTTCTTTTAAACTTTGCTATATTATATAACAAGGATATTTATTTATTGATAATTATTGTGTAATAAAATATTTTTATTTATCTATGATATATATTAAATTAAGAATGAAACATTTCTGATGGTCGATATACAGATGCTCATCTGGAAACATATGTGGTAATTACATCAAATAACTTCGTGAAGAACAAATGTCTCATTATTTATTTCTAAATGAATGAATCAGTGGGTTCTGTTATTCTTTTTTAATGGATTAAAACACCGTATGTACGATTTTCAACATGTAATAAGATCAAGTTTTCCCATTTTTATATACAATATTCTTTCTACTGTTATTTATTTCACATAAAAACAAACTTTTTAAGTATTTCCTGTATAACCTGGCATAAGAATATTGTTACATTCTAGATAGATAATGATTATGTATAAGGGTGCGTCGTTGTTATCATTTTTCCAGATAGAATAAGAAGAATGTTTATTTAGTTGTTGTCAACTTCGAGTAGTTGATTAAGCAGTTTGATATAGTGAACAGCTGTACGAAGAGTTTCTATACGAGATAATTTACATTTATTTTCAACAGGTAAGGCTAGACGAAGTTGAGCATAAGCCTTATTAAGTTTAAGCATTCGATGTTTTTCGCGTACAGTTGCTTCATCACGTTGTTGTCCATTAAGTTTACGTTTTTTTCGTGTTGATCCTGATGATTGGATTTGTTGATGTATAGATGATGTTGATGATGATGACGATGATGAGATATTATTATAAAGTAACTCCTCTTCGTTGCTCATTTTAACTTCTTATGATTTACATAAAAGTAAGTTATATATACATAATTTTTTTTTTGTTAGATCTTTTTATAATCGAATCATTAAGTAAGTAATGAACGATGAAGATATACTAATAGTAGAAGTTATTGATTGTTAGTGCATTTTATAAATAGATTCAAAAAAGCAATGATTAATCAATTTTTTATTTTATATTTTGAAAGACATTCTTTTTATTGATCAAATAATGTTCTTGACTTTATTCTTAAGAAGTCAAACCATAGAAATGTTGATTAATTCAAATGAACAATAATTCTATTTAGAATTTCTAATGTAAAAAAAATTCTTTTGGTTTTAAAGATATACAGATCAATTCAATATTTACATGTTAGATATGTGTATACTCTGTTAAACGAAGCAATGAATCAAAAGTCAATGAATCTTTCGATTCTAATGTGCCTGAACGACATTTACGTCTGAATTGTAATTGAATATTTTTACTATTCATACATTTCTTTTTTTGTATTATATGCATCTGTTTGCTTCCAACAGCTAGATTATGCTATTCTACCAATTTTTTCTTCTTCTATAGAACAGCAGGTGTCATTGTCATTGCTTTTCCATTTTCTTTATACTGTCTTTGGCATTGACCTAGTATATAAACATCGTAATATAATAAGAAATGATGTAAAAAAAAAAGAAATAACATGGATCATACACATTCTTTCTTTCTTCTCTTGCACACATACATATATACATATATACTCAAATAATCATTTTATCATCGAAATATGTTTGTAACAGTATTCATATGACGCACGCACATCTACGTTTTCTTCTTCAATACTTGTGCATTACTTTCAATCAGATTGTGCATATAGTGCATGTGTGTGTGTGTATGTCAATATTTTGACAGAATCAATCGTCTTCATCGTTCTCTTGTGCTTTTGGGTCGCGCCTATAGAAAAAAAACGAAATAAACTCCTTAAGTAAATGGTAATCATTCTCTATTACTCATAAGACTGACTTTCATCTTTTTTCTTTTATAACGACATCCATAAATATTCTTTTCAAATCAATTCCAAGGAAGTTTATATATATATGATTTATCTAGTAGAGATTAGTATTAAACATAACATTCAGACATATGGATAATGTTGAACATGCTTATATGTACACACGTACCAAGGAAATAACAGATCATAAGGGTAACATTTATTTTACATAGCAAGACGATTATTCTTCTTTGGATTATAGTAGATGATCACTGCGATACGGAACATTAAATATAAAGTTAGTTAAATATGTCATATCTACAAGCACCTTTTGCATTTACAATTGTTCATACACTTTGCTTCATCATCATCTGTCGATCATTAATAACTATTTCTCGTGTATACATGTTTATTCTTCGATGTATGTGTGCACGTCATTCAATGCTTTAGGGCAAAATTTTATCATTTTTTTGGTATTTCTTTTTTTTTGCTTGGGTTAAAATTCTATGCAAGTGCACACTCTATGTTCTGTACGTTTGTTCGTCCGATCGATGGAATGAATGAGTAACGAGAACTCTCGTTCTTTCTTTTGACGTTCTTCCGTACTTGTTTGAGAAATACATAGGAGTACCATTACTCACGCATTGCACTCACCAGAAAGAATGAAGAGAGAAAAACGGACGATGCTGGCAAAAAGAGAAAATGTCATTTCCATTTCTTCGTCGTCGTCGTCGTCGGTTGTGTGTTCCATCAACAAAATAGTGGACGATAGCCAGGATAAGTTCACCATTGATGGATGTCGTTTTTTTTCTTCTTTCCTCTTTACCTGTCCTACACTGAATCGAAAGAGAATGAGAGAGAAACAGTTGATTACTCTGGTCATATACGTATATTCGTATTCGTCATGCACGTTTTCTTTTTCTCTTCTCCATCTCTCTCTCTCTCTGTTTCTCTTTTGCTTCCTTACTGTATTCACTTTTTTTCTGCTATTCTAGACAAGTCGCCAATACTGTTCAGTATATTGATTATATTCGACTGATCTGATTTTTAGAAAAGAAAAAATTTATACATACATATATGTGGTATCCTTCTCAACAGCAGCAACATAGCTGCTATGGATATATGCATCATTATCCCTCTCAACAGCAACAGCAACAACAAGAAATTTATTCAAGAACTTCATATTATTGTAACACTGACGAATTATCGACTACTTGTGTTGAAGCAATTAATGATGAGAATGAATCACCTATCCATTGTCAAACAACATCATATAGCAGTAATGTTCACGGTAAAGAGAAAGAGATGCAATTGAAATTTTGAAAGAAATAATTTTTTTCCTCTCGAACAATTTTGTTTCATATATAAGAATAAGACTAATGATTTTTTTGAGTGTTATAATTTCATTTTACAGGTTTCACCACTTTCAAGGTGGAATAATAGTAAAAAAGAAAAGAATGAATGAATGAATCAAGGTAGTAACATATGTATGTGTAGGCACTTATATCAATGTTTTTATCATCATCGGTTTGCATATGTGCATAAGAGAACAAATTGTTGCATCTCTATCTGTAGTTACAACTACAACTATTCTCCTTCATCTTGCGCAATGATGATCTTAATGGACGAGAGCAACGGCGACGATGACATTTGTCGCGTTCGCAGCGCAAGTTATTCAATTCAGCTTCTCGTTCTCTTAGCAAGTTGATCGCTAGATCAATCACATAGTTATTGCATGTTGAGATTCATTCACGCAATCGTATATTGCTATGTTCTATAAGCACAAGCAAACGATGATAGAATCTAAATCGAATTATTACGACTTATACGAAGCAAAAGAGAAGACATAGTTCAAGATTAAAGTCTAATATTCATATATAGATGTATTAGAAAGACTTATAAATTGAAGAAAAATGAAAATTTCGATCAAAAGTATCTTTAAACTAGGTATTAAATTTCGTATATTCATGAATTTTTTCTTTCATCTTCTACTTTAAACTATTGTAGAAAAATGATAACTGCATTCATGTATTCAATGATACTATCGTATATATAAAAAGAAATTTGTTGTCTATGACAAAGACATACGTCGATATAAATGTTAATGATGTGTCATGTTTTACTTATCCCCATATGTAAAGATGAACAAAAGTGAGAGAAAGAATGAAGACACATTGTCTAATAATTAATATAGTGATTGTGTATCATATAGAAATATATGTTTTTATCGTATACTAGAACAACATATCTATATATCACTCTTTTGTTTATATAATTTTTAAAAGGAGTCAGACTAAGAATGAAAAGGAGAGGCTGTCGAAGTGTCGGGAATAATAAAAAGAGAAGAAGAAGAAGAAGAAGAAGAAAAAAACGGAGGAAGAAAAACGTTCTCGACCGTCCCCTCTTTTTTCTCTTTTACTGCGTATCTAGAATACATAGTGTGTTTTTTAATCGACAATATAAATTTATATAATATGACGGAAAAGTAGGTGGCATTATATCAGTTGTCATTTTACGTTCATTTTTCTATCTAAAAGAAAAGTTATCATTGAGTAATCAGAGTAGTGTATATATAAATATATCTATGTCCATACATGTGATAGTACACAGTCGATTATTAATGCAATTATCAACTGCTGTTCTGTATATATATGAATATGTCATTTATACATGTATACATATATGTATATATTACATATATTTTCTTGTGTTGATCAGATGAGAGGAAAAAAAGAGTATTTAATTTTTTTTT